CTCACAAGCTGGGAGCTCCCAAGGCTGGGCTGCTGGGGGTCTAAATGCACAATTTCCAGGGTGACCCCACTGGCAGCAGGCCAGTCATGACCTTCACAGAGCAGTAAAAATACCACACAGAGAAAACCAGCCAGGCTGCCGGTGACTAAGTGGTTCCCATGGGGACCCCCGCCACACCCAGCCACCCATGACTCTGCCACAAAGCACATGCTCCCTCAGAACCCAGAGGCCCCTTGATGACTGAGGGGCTGAGCACAAAGTGTGAGTGCAGAGGCACCTCGGGAACCGCTGGCGCGCCGCGCCCGACGCTGTAACAGGGCAGCCGAGACCATGCTGTTCTAACACGGTGGGCTGGGGGATGCCCCAAAACAGTGACCCTGCTGCCACTTACCCCAGACAGGCGGGTTGAGCAAGTCCCCTGGAGAGAGTCGCCTTGCACAAACCTGCTGATTTGTGACGGGGGCGCAGCCCTGACCAGCCTTGCACCCGCTCTCCCGAGAAAGCAGGCGGCCCATCGACAGAGGGCGGAATTGCTGTGGGACATGGTTAGGCAAAGAAGGAGGCTTCTGCCCACTGGTACTGCGTGGTCCACTGTCCCCACAGTTATGGTCTCTGTTCTCCTGCTTGGGCCTTCAGGGGCCAGGGCAGGGCCAAACTCACATGCCTGGGGACAGGTGTGCCGTGCACCTGTTCTCCCAGAGATCTTCAACATCCCACTGCATGCTGAGGCCCTCTCCATGGCCTGCTCTTTCTGCTGCTTCCTGCAGCCCTGCCTGGGTAGGAGCAGAGGGAGGACCACTGACTCCCAGGGCGAGCCCCCTCATTAGCTGCTAATTGCGCTCTGTGCCAGGCCTCCCAGGGCTGGTGTCGGATCACACCTGTTGACAAGATGTGGCAGCCCCGGTGGGAAGGTGCTGCGTGTTGATTATGTTGCTAATGATGTGCTCATTGCCCTCAGTAATTCCCCAAATAAAACAATGTGTCTGGGATGCAAACCAGGGGGGGGGGGGGCGGCTGCGGGGGTTGGTGGTGGCTCAGACTCGGGGTCAAATCAAATCGTCCTGGAGATCCCCAGTTGGCCACCCACACTAACAAGCTAAACAGAGCTAAACAGCCCCTGGTTTACAGAAAGCATGGGGTGTGTATGAAGAACCACCAGGTTGAGTAGGAGGTCGGCCCTGTCCTCTGTTCCACCCGACTGTGTCCACACAGGCAGCAGCTCATGGGGCCAGCCCCCTCCCCACTCCTCCCATCTGGCAGTTCCTGGGCCCCCAAACTTAATATGGGCAGCTCTCAGCAGCTGATCCTGCCGAGCTGGGGGTAGCAGAAGGAAGACCCTCCCCCATGGTCTCTGGCAGCTCTTCCCCAACCTGTGCCTGACGGGGGCCATCTTGGTGGGGCCTGGGGCCTCACCCCAGATACACGTTCCTCCTCCCACAGCTCAGCCATGCAGAACAGGGAGGAGCAAACCCAACTTCTGTCCAATTTCTTTTGGGCCTTGACCAACAACACAGTAACAGTGGCGAATGCAGTCAATGTTTTGAAATCCCATGTTTAGGAAAAATTTACATTTATTTTGGAAAAGGAAAAATACCTTTTACTTGTTCCACCCTGGATCATTTTACACAGGATAGCTGCCCCGGAAAGACACCTGCTATCCCAGCCCAGGCCCTGCACACAGCCCACGGGACTTGCAGCCTGTAGGCATGGCCTGGGCTGTGTTCCCTCCATCCCACCAGCCCCCTGAGGGCCAGCCCAGCCCGTGGGGGAGGTGGGCTACAACCTGGTGAGATGCATCCCATTATGTAGCTGTCCTCCAGCCCCTGAGGATCCCATAAAAACCTAGACATGTGGCTGTGGTGGGCTGAATGGTGGTCCCTCAAATGATATGTCCAATCAGAACCTATGAATGGGAACTTATTTGGAGATCAACTACAGTCCTCTGCTCTATCAGCTGAGCTATCGAAGGGACATGTTTGGAAAATTAGTTTTTGTAGATGCAATTAAGTTAGAAATCTCTAGATGAGGTCATTCTGAATTAGGGTGGGCCCCAAATCCAATGACAATATCCTATAAGAGATAGGAGAAGCCCTGGCCAGTTTGGTCAGTGTTTAGAGCGTCGACCTGTGGTCCAGAGAGACCCGGATTCGGTTCCCGCTAAGGGCGCGTACCTCGGTTGCAGTTTGTCCCCGGCCCTGGTTGGTCGTGTGGGTGGCAGCCACTCGATGTGTCCCTTTCACATCAATGTTTCTCTCTCCCTCTCTGTTCCACTCTCTCCTTCCCACTCTACCTGTACAAAAAATGAAAAAATGTCCTCGGGTGAGGATAAAAAAAAAAAGAGAGATAGGAGAAGACACACAGGAGCTGTGTGACCATGAAGGCAGAGACAAGACTGATACTGCCCTGAGGCCACCACCACTTGGAAACTCCAGAGGCTAGACACACAGAAGGATCCTTCCCTAGCGCCTCTGGAGGGGGCACACATCTGCCCACACCTTGATTTCAGACTTCTGACCTCCAGAACTGAGAGAATAAATTTCTGTTGTTTTATACACCCTCGCCACCGCCCCAGTTTGTGGTCCTTTGTTACAGCAGCTCCGGGACACTAACACAGGGTCAATCCCTTGGAGGGTGAAACTGACACCAACCGGCAGAAGGGGACAGGCAGCTCTACATGCTTGGTGGAAACCACACTTGCTCCCACCCAGTGGTCAGCTGGTTGGCTTTGGGCAAACCCGTGGGCACATCCAGAGCAGAGGCCGAGCTCTGCACCTGACCGAGCTCAGATAAATGGGTGCTCACAGTTACGGCGTCACAGCAGCCGCACAAGCCAGCCAGCCAGTCGACCTGGCCACAGAAGCCGTGGCCCTCCACACGTCCTCAGCTGGCCCTTGAGTAACCCCCGCGCGTGTGCACACTCTGCTATGGCACATGGGAAGCGCATGGTAAATACTTGCTAATGATGATGATGAAACAATTTGCAAAATATGAGAGCAAGCACACCAGAGGTGAGGCATAATGCTGGCACTGGAGCCTGAGGGTCTCTAGGGATCCAGTCACATAGGCACTCCTGGGATTCAAACCCAAAACCTATGCGTGTGCCCTGACCCGGAATTGAACCCAACACCTTTTTGGTGTACAGGACAACACTCCAACCAACTGAGCCCGCATTCTTTTTTTTTTTTTATCCTCACCCGAGGACATTTTCCCATTTTTTGTTCAGACAGAGTGGGAGGGAAAGAGAGGAAGAGAAAGAGAGAAACATCGACGTGAAAGGGACACATCGAGTGGCTGCCACCCGCACAACCAACCAGGGCCAGGGACAAACTGCAACGGAGGTACGTGCCCTTAGCGGGAACCCAAGGCCAAAGCTCTAACCGCTGAGCCAAACCGGCCAGGGCCCGCATTCTTTAAATAGTTTTACGGAGATATCAGTTCACATTTTATACAATTTTCCCACAAAGACAGACCTATCCTGCATATCTATGTGTCAAACTCCTCCCCTCCAACGCTGGGGGAATTGTCCCCCCTGTCCCCAAGTGGAGAGCATCCTTTGCCCTCTAGCCAAAGCCAAAGCCCCCTCCACTATAAATCCTCTCCATTACACCAGCCTAACTGATCATTATCCTGCCCCCAATCCCAATAGCACTTGTTACAGCCACAGATTTTTTGCAAACCTACTCTGGGGCATTTCGGTGAAACTAAGCTTATCTTGTGTCCCACTAGTTATAATAATCAGTGGGACTGTTCAGATTTCAGGCCTCACATCTCAGACCTTGCTCGGGTATAGCCAAGACGGGGAGACGGGTGTGGCCTGGAAGCCTATCTGGGGCAGCTGCCCAGAAATGTCCTCTCCTGGGAGCCAAAAGGTGAGACTGCAGGGCTTAGAGGTCACACCAGTGGGTGGTCTTGAGTCACTGGACCATGAAGTAAACCCATAGGCAGGTGCAGGAGTCACCAGGTTGTGTCGACATCAGGGCAAGAATCCCAAAATAAGCAGGCGCCCAGGCCGGGCTGGCCCCTGGGAAATTCAAGATTACCACCATTACTTTCTCAGGGCACCTACCAGGCTGGGCCCAGCTGGGGCCCAGGGACAGGCCAGACTTGACCACTGGAGTTTTCTGAAGAACCCTAACAAAAAGTGGTAATTAAATGTGTACTGTACTTGACACGTTTAATAAGTGGTTCAAGAATTGAGTCAGACAGCAGCAATCTTGTTTCGGGTTTTAAAATCTTACAAGGAAATGGAGTTTTCTCAGGCGGGTCTCCAAAATAACAGAAGAGTGTGGGGCCCTGGCCGGTTTTGCTCAGCGGTCAGAGAGTCGACCTGCGGTCCGGAGAGACCCGGGTTCGGTTCCCGCTGGGGGCACGTACCTCGGTTGCAGTTTGTCCCCGGCCCTGGTTGGGTCATGCAGGAGGCAGCCACTCGATGTGTCCCTTTGTCGATGTTTCTCTCTCTCTCTCCCTCTCTCTCCCCCCCACTCTATCTGAACAAAAAATGGAAAAAAAATGTCCTCGGGTGAGAAGAGAGTGTGGAGGCCGTCCGAGGAGCTCAGTGGGCCCCCTCCCAGAACCCAAGGCTCTGCACTGAGCCCAGGTTGTGAGGGGCCGCTCCCTATCGCCGTCACGTTCATTTTCAGTAACCGGCGCCCTTGTGTCAGGAGTAATATGTGAGGGCAGGCACAGCTGAAGCAAGGCTTGGCCGAATAAGCAAGGCGGGAATCTCGGGGCCGCACACCTGGCCGGCAGGTGAGCACCGGGTGAGTGAAGATATCATTCGTGTCCAGGCGGCCCCTCAGCCGGTGCGGGGTAGGCAGGGAAGGCGCAGGGTGGGAAGTTGGTTCCTCCGTGGGACTGGGTCCGCCAGCAGGGGGCGCATGTCCTCCAGGCACCCTACCATGAGCCAGACGCGCATGCGCCGCGCGGGGCGCTTTCCGGCAGCGCGGCGGAACCACCCCGTCACTTCGCGCCGTTTGGCGACCCCTGCGTGCAGTGCCTGGCGGTAGTGTGGCCGCCATGGCGTCGCCCTTCAGCGGGGCGCTACAGCTGACGGACCTGGATGACTTCATCGGGCCGTCTCAGGTGGGTCGACCCCGGTGAGCCACGGCCGTGCGCAGGGAGATAGTAGCCTCCTGCCGTTTCAGTTTCTCCCCCTGAGAAACGGGATCGGGACCCAGGAACCCGGGCCCGCGCCTCCGGGGCCTCCGGCATTCTGGCCAGCTTCCTACCGACTGGGAAACCGAAGCCAGGGAGCGGGTATCCCACCGGGTTTCTAGTCCTAGGCCAAGTCCGCGAATTTGGGATCCCGAGCTTGCCGACCCGCACAGCCCAATGAGACAAGTAGGAGCCAGTTATCATGTTGCCCTCAGGGCGACTGGGTTAGGGGAATGCGGTGTCCCCACCGCATTCAAGATGGGTATACGGTACGGAAGCTGGAGGGTGCCAGGCAGTTGCCGCCAGTCACCCAGCTGGGGAGTGGCGGGCTCAGGATTGGGGTTGGGAAGACCCCGCCAAGCTTCTCTGAGCCACAGTTTCTTCTGTGTAAACAGGTGAAACATCCCACCCCAGTTGCCAGAGCAGGGTAGCTGGTCCGCAGGAATCTCGCACGTGACTGCCCAGTAAATGTCAGGGTGTGTGGTCACTGGCGTTGCCCTCCTGGAGGACAGAGCTTGCCTCCAAAGAAGACAGGCACTACACTTCAAAGAGGATGTCTCCCCTATCTGATGTACCCACCTCTCAATTGCCACCAGCTGTGCACGCCCAGGGCTGGGAGGGCCATATAGTCCCAGGAGGAGGGGAAGGGCAGGGATGGGCTCAGACAGGCCTCCTGCCCAGTCTTTCTGGGACTGGTCATGTTAAGGAAGGCCATGGCCAATGAGGTTCTCCCAGTGATAATGAGGCAGACAGGAAGGTGAGTAGAGAAATGAACATTTTTCTAGGACACTAGGCAGGGACGTGACGTCTAGGCAAAGCATTCCTGCCAACTCCTAGGCTTCCTCTCAGTAGCCAGTATAACACTGGCCACTGGCTCTCTGGAGACACTGAGAAGAAATAAAGGTCAAAGTTGGTGGTGTCTGCTGGCAGGTTAGTGTACAAGCCCACTTAGCAACAGCCTTCATTGACTGCGACCTGCAGAGTGACCCTCAGTGCCAACAGGTGTTAGAACATGTGCCCAGCGCGTGAGCAGCCCACCCCTCTTCTTCAGGAGCCTCTGCTCACTCAGGCCTGGTTTGGGGTCTCTTCTTGGTATAGGACTGCATCAAGCCCATGAAGGTAGATAAGAGGCTGGGAAGTGGCGTGGCCAAGATCCACATTGAAGATGACGGGAGTTACTTCCAAGTCAATCAGGTATGTTCTAGTTCAGGTGATCTGAAACTCATTTCACCATTCCATCCAGTCACGAGTACAGTGGCCATGCGACCTTTCACATCTGCCAGTCCTTTGTCATGGTTCAAATTCGCTGTCTGTCAGGGAGACTAAAAGATCAGGGACGAGAGTAGCCAGGGACAGCTGAACATGGAGTTTGATTTGCTCTGCAGAAGGGGCTCTTTATGCAGAGGTGGTAGTTCTCGTCTTCCCCTCTGTCCGTCTCTGTCTCTGAGTTCTAATTGAATAAGATTTTCCAATTCAGACCCCTCATTCTTAGTGAATAACCTACTCCCTATATAATTAGCAATGACATATTTCTTATCTAATTGTGTTAAAATTCACCCCTCCTATCTGCCATTTGGACTCTCAAGACCATAGTGCCCAACCAATGTGGCTCAGCTGAGCATCATCCCATCCCAGAAGGTTGCAGTTTGGATTCCCATCAAGGCACATGCCTGGGTTGTGTGCACGATCCCCAGTAGGGGGTGTGCAAGAGGCAGCTGATCAATGTTTTGCTCTCATCGATGTTTCTATCTCTCTCTCCCCCTCCCCCTCCCTTCCTCTCTCTGAAATCAATAAAAACATATATTTTTTTAAAAGAACATTTTGTGCCCTGGCCAGTTTGGCTCAGCAGTTAGAGCATCGGCCTGCGGACCGGAGAGTCCCGAGTTCAGTTCCCACTAAGGGCACATACATAAGTTGCAGTTTGTCCCCGCCCTGGTTGGGGTCATGTGGGTGGCAACCACTCGATGTGTCTCTCTCACGTCGATGTGTGTCTCTCTCTCTTCCCCCCTTTCTCCCTCCCTCTCTATCTGAAGATAAATGCAAAAATGTCCTCGGGTGAGGATAAAAAAAAAGAACATCTGTGCCATCCCATGGACTGTAGGCACCAAGTGCACCCAGCCCAGGAACCCCTTCTGAGCAGGGGGAGGAGCCCTAGAGTGACTCCTGGTGGGGATGGACAGTGGATCAAGCCTTTACAGGGGGGAAGCTGGCTATCCACTTGGTACAGGAGGGTGAACCAGCAGCATATCAGGGCTCCCACCCAAGCTGTCGCAGCACGGGGGATTTGGTCCATTTTAGGAAATAGACACCTCAGGAGGGGTCCCATGAATTGAAGGAACCCAATTGAGGTGTGGGTACCAGTGTGCCTTACTGTCCAGAGCAACAGTGCTTGACTTGGAGGGAAGCTGGGACACTCATCAGCCTCTTGCTTGGTACAGCACTGCATTCCAGGCCCTTAGGCGGATCTGACTCTAAAATACATGTTTAGCTCAAATTATGGCTTTGTGCAAAGTGCAGGCCTAGTGAGCTTAGCTGGGAGTTCCAGTCTCCTCAGCCCTCTGATCATATTCTCAGACTCTTTAGTTCACCTGGCCTTGGTTCAGACCTGCTTTTGCAGAAGGAGTAAAGGGGCACAGCTGGGGTCATCTGCATCTAAGAAAAGTCACTGAGTTTCCACTTGGAGGCTCTACTCGAACACCAGGTTCTGTGTCTGCTTGGCCGAGTCTGACTTGCTGTCCACTGTGTCTCTCCTTGACTCCGAGTGCTGGCGCTGGGCGGGTACAGCCCACAGACACAGACCACGATTTCCTCCCTCTGCCCTCTGTCCTTCCTTTCTCCTCTCCCTTGCCTTTCTCTTCCCCTTTCAGAGCCTGGCCTTTGGCATTTTCCTGTCCTCACGATCCCATGAGTGCAGCCTGGGGACCAGCAATCCCTCCGGGACCTCTGTGGAGAGTGGCAAGCCTCCAGCTGAGTTTGTACCCAAGTCAGAATTTGATGGTGCTATTTAAATCTAGAATGTGTATAAGTACTCCTGTAATAAATTACCTTAAAAATTTTAGTGGCACATAAAGCCAGCCAAGTACCATGCTGGTTGTCAGTGTTGTGAGCAAAAGAATCAAGTTTCCTGTAGGCCCCATTATCGTCAGAGCTGTCTCCTCATGTGAAGGGGCCCTTTGCTTATCAGGTTGTTGTGCTTCCAGGATGGAGGGACGCGGAAGCTAGAGAAGGCCAAAATCTCACTGGATGACTGCCTGGCGTGCAGTGGCTGTGTCACCTCAGCAGAGACCGTGCTCATCACTCAGCAGAGCCATGAGGAGCTGCGGAAGATCCTAGATGCTAATAAGGTAAATGGTGGGCAGTCTCTGAGACTCCGCAGTAACCCAGCATCAGTCCCAGCATCCTTCACTCAGTGCTGTCGAGGGCAGCTCCTCTCCTGGTGCTGTTTGTCCCGTGTCTCCAGCGACCCCTGAATTTTTTTTCATTTTTGTTTTCTTTATTGATTTTTAGAGAGAGAGGAAGAGAGAGGGAGAGAGAGAAACATCAGTGAGAGAGAACATCAATCGGTCACATCCTGCATGCCCCCTACTGGGGATCAGGCCCACAACCTGAGCATGTGCCCCGACTGGGAACCAAACCAGTGAGCTCTTGGTGCATGGGTCGACGCTCAACCACTGAGCCACACTGGCTGGGCATGACCCCTGCATTTTAATCTAATTAGTGGGGGTCTCAGAGAATTACTTGTCAGTGTTTTTTTTTCCTTTATTCATTTTTATCTTTTTGTTGTGTTTTTACTTTCATTTTTTATTAATTAATTCATTTTTGTTACAGATGGTTCTCCTTTTTCCCCCATTGACACCCTCTTCCCGATCCATCCCCCCCAGCATTGTCTGTGTCCGTTGGTTACACATACATGCATATAAGTTCTGTGGTTTATCTCATCCACCCATCTACCTCCCTCCTTTATTGATTTTAAAGAGAAAGGAAGGGAGCCCTGGCCTGTTTGGCTCAGCGGTTAGAGTGTTGGCCTGCGAACCAGAGTCCCGGGTTCGGTTCCTGCTAAGGGCATGTACCTCGGTTGCAGTTGTCCCCTGCCCCATTGGGGTCGTATGGGTGGCAGCTACTTGATGTGTCTCTCTCGCATCGATGTTTCTCTCTCTCTCTTCCTCCTTCTCTCCCTCCCACTCTATCTGAGGATAAATGCAAAAATGTCCTCGGATAAGGATAAAACAAAAAAGGAGGGGAAAGGGAGGGAGAGATATAAACATCAATAAGAGAGAATATCGCCCTGGCCAGTTTGGCTCAGCGGTTGGAGCGTCGGCCTGCGGTCCGGAGGGACCCGGGTTCAGTTCCCGCTAAGGGCACGTACCTCGGTTGCAGTTTGTCCCCGGCCCTGGTTGGTTGTGCGGGTGGCGACCACTTGATGTGTCCCTTTCGCTTCGATGTTTCTCTCTCTCTCTCTCCCTCACGCTCTATCTGAACAAAAAATGGAAAAATGTCCTCGGGTGAGGATGATTAAAAATAAATAAATAAATAAGAGAGAATATCGATTGGCCGCCTCCTGCATGCCCCCCACTAGGGATCGGGCCCACAACCTGGGCATATATGCCCTGACCAGGAATTGAACCTGTGATATCTTGGTGCATGGATCGATGCTCAACCACTGAGCCACACTGTCCAGGCTACTTGTCACTATTTTGACTGAAGTGTTGGGACCTAAACTTTGGTTCTGTGTACATAAGAATGACATGCCCTGATGGAGCTAGGGCTGCTCTTCCAGCTCTGGCCCACTGGAAGTCTGTATAAAATTCACAAAGTGAGTAGTGTATCCTTTGCTTTGCAGACAGCAGCGCCTGGTCAGCAGAGGCTGGTTGTCATTTCAGTCTCACCCCAGTCCAGTGCATCGCTGGCTGCAAGATTTCAGTTGACTCCAACAGACACTGCCAAGAAGTTAACTGCATTCTTTAAAAAACTAGGTAGGCGAGGAACCTTGAGTGAGCGCTACAGTTTGGAACATGGAGGCATGGGGTGGGGGGTTGCTTTTCACGTCTCCAAATCACTGAACTTAAACATGTCAGAAACTCTGTTGTGAGCTTGACTCAAAGTTTTTGCTTGATGTTTGGAAGCAGTGCCATTTGAGAGAAAACCATGTGGGTCCTGACTTTGCACTCTCCTAGGTCTGAAATTCACCCACTCTTTGTATTGTTTCTGAATTATTATCAAGACACATTCCCAGGTCTGTGCTGGGTCTGGCTCAGACCGAATGGCTGACCTCTTTGTATGCCGGGAGCTGGGAGGATGTGGGGTGAGCCCAGTGCAGACCGATGTCCTAGGCAGATGCTAAGTGCAGATGAAGGAAGCCAGTTGTCACACGCAAGCTTCCCGGACAGCAGCACAGGCTGTCCACAGCACTAGTGTGTCCTGTGGCACTAGAACTGTGTGCTTCCTCCAGCCGCTGTGGAAGGCACACCCCCTGCTCCTGGCAGCATGGTCAGCAGCAGCTCACGCTGTGGCCATCCTTCATGGGGCTCGGGGTGCTCGCCTTCCAGGAGTGCACTATGTGTTTGATACCGCCTTCTCGAGGAACTTCAGTCTCCTGGAGAGCCAGCGAGAGTTTGTGCGGCGATTCCGAGAACAGGCCAACTCCAAGCAGGCCTTGCCCGTGCTGACTTCTGTCTGCCCAGGTATGCTCCCGCTGTGACACGTGGGGAGTGGGAATGCTGGAGGGGCAGACAAGAGGGTTCTGTCAGCCCAGAACAGCCTCTTTGGCAGAAAGAGCTGCTCTAAGAGTCACGTGTAGTTACTTCAGTTCCCCAAGACAGTAATCACATGGATGCTAGAAATCGAGTGGGGATGTTCCTTAATGGGATGGGATTCCTTATACAAGTTTGTCCACCCCCAGAATGTCATGTCATAGCCAACAGTGAGAGGTGACTTATGAGCCACCCGTTTGTTCCATGTTGGCCTCAGGCTGGATCTGCTATGCCGAGAAGACCCACGGGAATGCCATCATCCCCTATATCAGCACCGCCAGGTCCCCACAGCAGGTCATGGGCTCCCTGGTCAAGGACTTCTTTGCCCAGCAGCAGGTAACAGGGACATTCCAGCTGTGAATGATTCTGTGTCATTTTCTTGAAAGATGAACCAAGACCTGCAGTGTCGAAGTATCCATTCACAGACTCGTGGTCACTCCCTGGCTATTTCAGGCCATGCCTTTGATGTCACCCTGTTTCACCCTAACAGAACCCTTTACTGCTGGGGTCAGGCAGTGACTCCACGTTTCCGTGTCTCTCTGTGCAGCATGTGACCCCCGACAAGATCTACCATGTGACAGTGATGCCCTGCTATGACAAAAAGCTGGAAGCATCCAGACCTGACTTTTTTAGCCAGGAACATCAGACGCGAGACGTGGATTGTGTCATCACAACAGGTGTGGGTCCTGCCACTGTGAGCCCCTGCACTTCTGGGTGTGGTTCCCAAGCCCGGAGCACAGACTGCCATTGCCCGGATCCTGCCCACAGGCTCTGGCTGGAGGTGCCATCCCCAGAGAGCCTAGCATGAGGCAGGGGCCCTTCCTCAGCCTGGTCAATGTTTGCAGCTGTCTTGTCTCAGGGACCCGAAGCAGATGGTCTCCCAGCACCACCAGTGTTAGCTCTAAAATAGTCTGAACGAGGAGATGGGTGGAGAGTTTTATCAGCCCTTCTGGCTCACATTGGTATCCCCCTTTTTTTTTCTTTATTGATTTGAGAGAGAGAGGAAGGGAGAGGGAGAGAGAGAGAGAGAAACATCGATGAAAGATCGATTGGCTGCCTCCTGCATGCCCCTCACTGGGGATTTGGCCCACAACCTGGGCATGTGCCGTGACCAGGAATTGAACCGGTGACCTCTTGGTGCATGGGTCGATGCTCAACCACTGAGGCACACTGGCCAGGCATTGGTATCCCCTTTCTGAATTGAACAGCCTCACTGAGTCTCCAAATGCTTAAAAAAACAGAAAAATAAATGCTGGAGAACTTGAACAGTCATGGGAAGGTCTCCATGCATAAACATGTGCCCAGATGTGACAGGCACACTGCTGGGGGAGCACCTGGGAACAGGTGTTCTGAGCCCCACCAAGTCACTGTGAGGGTGGGTGCAGTCCCAGGGCAAAGCTCCCGAGGGTCTTCAGAAGTGGACTCCTCTTCACCTCTGTGGCCAGGTTTGTCCTCCATCCACAAGCCAGGGGTGGACATCCAGGCCTCAACTGACAAATGACAGGTTGCTCGGGATGCAGATGATGTGGGTGTTCTTTGACTTTGCTTTTACTGAAATCCCAACTGATAAGCATCTGTGCTGTTGTTTCACTGTAGGAGAAGTTTTCAAGTTGCTGGAAGAAGAAGGGGTTTCACTGTCAGAACTGGAGCCAGCCCCCTTGGACAGTGTGTAAGTCACTACCTGCCACAGTAGGAGAGATGAATATACATCTGGGGTTGGGCACTCTCGACATTGGGGGTTGCAGGTGTCCTGGCAGGCAGCAGAAGCACATGGTGATGGGCAGTGTCCCCCCTCCCTACCTCTTCCCGCCTCAGCTTCCTTCTGGTTGGTTCTATGCCTGCCCTGAGGTCTGTGTTGTTGTTCACAGAGGTGGTCATCATCAGAAATGACTCCAATTGATACATATCTGAGCTTAACAGATACAGATGACACAATGGAGGGGGACAGTTCTCTCCCACCCCCTGACACACCAACAAAGCCCCCAAGGGTCTGTGCTGCCACCTGAGGCCTTACCCTCCTCCCCAGGTACAGCAGCGTGTCTGCTCAGGAGCCCACCAGCCATCGAGGTGGGGGTTCAGGGGGCTACCTGGAGCATGTGTTCCGGCATGCAGCCCAAGAGCTCTTTGGAATCCATGTGGATGAGGTCACCTACAGACCCCTGAGGTTAGTGGGAAGGGCTGCAGTTGGGGCAGCCTCCGCCCTGGGTCCCCTTGCTGAGGTGGGCTTGGTGGGAAACTGAGCTGGGTTTGGTGCAGATCCCTGGGCCACTGGACAGGAGCTGGTCCTCCTGTCTGGCTCCCTTGAGTGGGCCAGAGCTCTCTGGGCCTTGGTCTTCCTGTTCTAGAGGTCAGTGTCTCCTGCCCACACCACAGCAGTCCAGAGCCCCGAGAGCTAGTGGTGGCAGGGTGGTATGCCTGGCACTGGATGTCCCATTGGAACATCCCATCCCACAGAAGGAGGGTGGGCTTTGTGTGTGACCTCACCGCGCCACACAGCCATGCTTGGTAAGCAGGGTTCCCATTCTACAGACCAGGAAGCCGAAGCTGGGGGTGGGATCACCTGCTGACTCGTGGAATTAAGCTTTCTGCCCTCCCTCTCCCTCACTGTCCTCCACCAGGAGCTGGTGAGGTTGACAACTTCATCTTTGTGGGTGGAGATGAGCATGGTGGTCTCTGCCCCCAGGAACAAGGATTTCCAGGAGGTGACACTGGAGAGTGAGGGCCGTGTCCTGCTGCACTTTGCTGCAGCCTATGGCTTCCGCAACATCCAGAACCTGGTGCAGAAGCTCAAGCGAGGGCGCTGCCCGTACCATTATGTGGAGGTCATGGCCTGCCCCGCAGGTATTCACAGGAGGCCCACTGCACACATGGTGTTGGGGCCTTTTCTGGGACCAGTGCTGTGGGATGGGCCCTGACCCCTGGCATGCAAACCTCCTCCCCATGACCATGCCCTCACCCAGCCTGTTCTGCCACAGGTTGCTTGAATGGTGGAGGCCAGCTCAAGGCCCCCGAGATGCCTGGCAAGGAGCTTCTCCAGCATGTTGAGAGGCTGTACAGCATGGTCAAGACGGAGGCGCCAGAGAGTGTGCCTGGGGTCCGGGAGCTGTATGGGCAGTGGCTGCATGGTGAGGGCTCGGAGCGGGCCGGCGGCCTCTTGCACACCAGCTATCACGCAGTGGAGAAGGCCAGCTCTGGCCTCAGCATCAGGTGGTAAGAGGGCTCTCCACAGCCAGTGCCAGGCACTCAGGACCCCAGGGCTTGCCCCCAAATCCTGGGTAAGCTGCGAGGATGTACTGGAACCCACGTGGAAATGGAACTCAGGACCCACAGCCAGTAAAGGTGACTTCCAGCCTGCACTCACCTGGACTCCCCAGTGCGGCCAGTTCCCATAGGGCACTGGAACCTCTCCACAGGCCCGTGTCCATGGGCGGTGCCCTTGCTCTTCCTGGTTGTGGTGACTCGTGTGTGAGGGTTTCAGCCTGTCCCATGAGGAGTTTAAGGAAAAGCAAAAATGGGGTTCCTCTCCCCCATTTCTGGAGTTACTCCTGAAGCTGGGGTAAGGATGGGCTAGACTTGCCAGGCTGGTCAAGCCTACAGCCCAGCATGGGGAACCCTATTGCACTTGGCAACAAAGGACACTGGCAGGAAAGGGGCACCCAGCCCATGCCAGCCCATGCAGGGGAAGCAGTGCCCACTCCACCTGGCAGTTCCAGCTGGAACCAAGTGTTTGTTTTGATGAAGCAGCGGTCTTCAGGGTCTGAGAGCCTGTGTTCTCCACCACTGGGTGGGGGGAGGGAGGGAGAGAACACACTGGGCTCTGCCTGTCAGGCCCATCCCTCTGAGCTCCACCTGTAATAAAGGGACTTCCCTCTGAAAACAGCTTCTAAGGCCTTCATTGCAAAAAGGCCTTTCAAGTTCAAAAGCTTTGTGCACCCTGCTAGACTGTGTCCCAAACTTTCAGGTTCAAGTGCGCCCCGGAGAGGGGCCCGCACGTCCACTACCAGGAAGTACCAGAGTGCCCACTCTCTGAGGCTGGGCAGCCAGTTGGGTGGGGCTGGGACATGCAGCCTGACTCCATAGCAGGTCTGTGTGGGACTCACTCGGGTCAAGGTGTGCCCAGGAGCCCCACTGCAGCACCAGGAGGGCCTCGGACTGAGGCTGCAGTGGCTCAGCCACCCGCCCGTCAAAACTCCCGCACCTCCCGGGCCTCGCCAGGACCTTTCCCGACAGCTTGCACACAGGGTCCTCTGCAGGAACGGGCACCATGGGGGCTTGACGGGGAACTGCTGGGCAGGTGCTGGCAGAAGATGCTTAATGAGCAGCTTCTCCCTAGTGCCAGTTAGCCCAATAACAGCCAATCCCTGGACACCCCCTCCATGTCCAAATGATTGCCAGGGAGGCCCCACGAACAGTGGGCTGGCCGAGTCAGCGTGCTCTGAAGTGCAGCCCCTGGGGAGAGCACAGGACCTCCGGAGACATAATGGCTCAGGCCTTGCCATATGCTCCTAGCCTGCCCCACAGGGAGGCCCAGGACACAGGCCCCACACCACCTTCAGGAAGGGGGTATAGAGGAGTTCCTGCCCCAGAGTGACTGGCATTGTGGGCATGTCATCCCCATGCCTCTTCTGGAATAACCACTGGCCCTTGTCATGGCCTGAGAGCCCCAGGCAATTTGGCTCTGCTCAGCCCCTGTCTGGGGCCCAGAGAAGAGGAGCTGCCCTACCCAGTCTGGCCCCAGCCTGGACCTTTCGAGGGCAGCCACTCGTGGGCCAGTCCTACAGGCTGCCCCATTCTTTGTCCAAGGCCACCAATCCCTCCCCTCACCAATGGGAGCCTCAGCCAGCCAGCTAAGCCAGATCTGGTCACCTTGGGCCACTCATGGCTGGCTGCCCCTGGATTCCAGTCCTCCCCCCACCCTCCAGCCCTCACATGCTCACATGGACATTGCAGAGCTCCATAAACTCGAGGTTGCCCCGTGTGGCTCGTGTCCACAGAACACCTGGAGAAAGGAGGCACTTGTACATAAAACTGCCACGGGCATATAGGGGGAGGCACTCACTCTGACTGGCCTAGCCAGGACCCTCCCCAGGCCCCAGCACCCTCCTATGCACCCCCTCACCACCCACACTTACCCTGTCCTGGCTGGCAAGCATTAATTCCACACCCCTGGAACAAGGTAGGTGCACAGCCTATGGATTGTGCAGGGAGGCTGTACTCTGGGGGGGGGGGGGGGGGCGGGCAGGTCATTCACTATCTCAGGGGGCAGGGTGCCCAGGGTCTCTACCAGACTCTGGTACATCTGCTGAGCCATACTCTCTAGGTGCCAACTGCAGCCAGCCACAGACAGCAAGTTCCCTTGAGAGGAAAGTGGGACAGAGAAGGTGCAGATGGTGGGAGCAGGGCAACTACTGGAGTACATGGCAGATGGATTGGAACACTCGTCTTCTCGCAGGAAGTAGTTCATGTGGCTGGAGGTCAGCTAGGCCTCTAGATAGCACATGTGGATGGCCCCAAATTGCCGCAGAGGAGCAGCTGGGTGAAGTGGGCAGCACAGACACACACCAGAAGCTCCTTGCCATGTATCAGTCTGTGGGTCAGCGTGCAGATGTGCTCCTTGTCACCCAGTACCTCCAGCTGGGGCCACAGATAAGTCAGCCCGGCATGTGGTCCCTGTAGATGGGTGGGAGCCAGATCACAGGGGCGCAGCCAATGCCCCCCTGAGCCTCAGCTGGCCCCAACTGCACTCACCAGTGGTGGTGAGTGGTCAGTACTGTGTCAGTGATAACCTCTCCTTGCCCATGATCTCCAGCAGCTGAAAGGGACTGGAGTTAAGGAGTTGCAAATGCTCCAGGAGTACCCCCCTCCAGGTCTGGCATGCACAGCACCCTAGGAAGGCCATTAGAGGTCAGGGGGTGGGGGAGATCCAGCAATTATTGAGCTCCCAGAGTGTATGGAACAGGCACCAGAAGAAGGGAAAAGAGGCAGAGGTGGTCCTAACCCTAGGGGAGACCCAAGATACAATTAAGGAACCCTAAATGCCGAACCACCAGAGATTAGGGAGCAGAGGAAGGATCTGCTCCAACCAGGGTGGTCAGGAGACTGAAGGGGGATTGGCAGATATTTGAGCCCACCCAGCCGGTGTGGCTTAGTGGTTGAGCATCCACCCATGCACTAGGAGGTCACTGGCTCCGTTCCTGGTCAGGGCACATGCCCAGGTTGTGGGCTCAATCCCCAGTGGGGGCATGCAGGAGGCGGCCAGTTGATGTTCTCTCTCATCGATGTTTCTATCTCTCTCTCCCTCTCCCTTCCTCTCTCTCTAAAAGCAATAAAGAAAAGAAAAGATACTTGAGCCCATATCCCACTTTCACCCCCTGCCTCTTGGGCACATCCATGGCCACAGCCTTCCACATGTGCTCCTCGATGACTAGATCATGTATGTAGTTGTCCTCAAGCACAGGGATGACCTTGACCTCCTGGGTTTCAGCTTCGCCACCCTGTGCCTCCTCTGAAACAGGTCCCCAGCCTTCCGCCTTCAGAGCTTCTTCCTCAGTGTGGGGCTTCGCTCTCTGGACCCGAGGCAGAGCTGTGCGCGGGAGGGGTCAGCTACACACACACACTGGGGGCCAGAAAAGAAGACCCTCTCCCTGCTCCAGGGACTACCCGGAGGACCTAAGTGGAATCCCTCGCTCCAGGATCCAGCTGACCGCCCGCGGGGACACCAGCCCCTTGCTAAGGCTCCGCCCCCTTGCGCCACGCCCCTCCTCTAGTTTTCTTGGCCACTCCCGGCTCCGCCCCCAGCCGAAGCCGCGGCCCTCGTAGGCCTCGCCTTCTTCGACAGGCCCCGCCCCATCGAGACCTGCCTGCATTCCCGGCTCCCTGCCGCCGCCTCGGACCCGGTGTCCGAGAGCCCCTTCCCTGGCCGCCTTCTTACCCGCACAGGCGGCGTCAGCCGGCTGTGCGGATGGCTTGAAGGGCTCCTGACAGAGGCAGTTTTCGGGCGCCGCTCACGGGACCTGGGCGGAGCGCGGCCATTGGCGGCCCCCACCCCGCCCGACCCGGAACCTGCGCGCGGCGGGGACCCAAACCCCGCACTGGGAGCACGCGACGCTGGACAGAGCCTTCCTGATTCCGCCCCCTCCCCCAGCCCGCCCTCGGCCCTTGACTGGGACATCTGCACCTCCATCCCTCAGGCTGGGGACTGCGGTGGTCTGTCCAGTTCGTTCGTCTGCCGTCTGTCGGTCCCGGCGCTCAGCCACCTCCCGGAGGCACACAGAAGCCTCCTAATGAGTGTGCGAACCCATATGGTAGGGCAGGGCACCCTGCGTGAGGGTAGCTAACAGTAACAGCAGCGGCAGCTCCTTTTCGTGTGCGCTGCCCCACACCTGCCCAGACTGGGCTTTTCAAACACCCCTGGTTCCATCCGCGCCCCGGATACATGCTAGGTGCTGGTCTGCATTTCCCAGCTGCGGCAACTGAAGCCAGGAAAAAATGGGTCGCAATATATGGAAGGAGCTGAGAGTTCCCCCCACCTCCCCAAACACTGAACTGCCTTGTCTGCCCTCTTGTGGGGGATGGGGGAGCGGGGAGGCGGGAGACTCTAGGGACCAACAGAGGCCTTGGCAACACAAGCCACCGGTGTCGCAGCAACAGGCCAGTAAGCGAAGCTGCAGTGCGCTTGGGGCAGCCAGAGTTCCTTTTGCTTATGGAGCGTGCGGCAGCCCCAGCCCCCAGGCCAGGGGCCCCATCTCAAGCCATTGAGAATGTGAGTCCTCCTAGGGCATTGCTGCTTCTGCCATGGGGTTGGGGTCCGCCCTGAACCCTCAGGGACCAGAAGGGGTGCAGGTATCCATGTCCTGGGCCTGATGCTGGCCATGGGCCTGACTTTCCCACCTCAGCTGGGCTGGGTACATGGGGGTGGATGTGGGTGTTTGGGGGCCACAGCTTAGGCCTGAGAACCACCTGGAGGATGGGTGGTGGTTCCTCCCCAGGTTTTACCACTGACTGAGGATTGGCTGCCAGGAGTCCCGAGGGGTGCCCCAGCCTGGGCCACCAGTCTTAAGACAGAGCTTCCCTCAGATCTAGAACTGAGTGAGGAGCAGCGGCTGCAGGTGAGTGTGACGGCCCTGAGGAGCTAGCAGGATGGAGGGTGCCCACAGGATCCCACAGGTACCACCTTTCACCTTGGCCACCCACAGATCTCCAAGGAGCTGGTCGACCTGCAGATCACAACTCATCGCCTACAGGAGCAGCATGAGGCTGAAATCTTTGAGCTAAAGAGTGAGGTGGGCGCTGATGTGTGCTCACATATGCCAGCCCACGTGCTTGGTGGGGTGCATACCTAGGATCAATGCTATGGGGGGTGCAGGTGTGCCCCACATGACAGGGCATTCACATAGTATCTGAGTCCCTTAATGTACTGCACGCGCTGTGTGTCCATGTGTGCCCAGATGGATGTTGAACAGGTACACCTGCTCACCCTTGTCACCCACAGGTCCTGCGGCTGGAGAGCCGGGTGCTGGAGCTAGAGCTGCACAGAGACCATGCAGCCCCAGCAGAGACTGGTCCGGGGCACCTCCAGGCATTGGCACAGCAGCTTGAGCAAAAGGCCAGGGGTCAGGGACACTGCAACCATCGCATCCTTCAGGTCACCATGAGCACATGGAGGGTCTGGCTAGGTGGGAACCAAGTAGGGGTGCAGCAGGTGTACAGTGAGGCTGGGACCCACTCTCCCATACAGGCACAGCCCAAGGACTTCCAGACTCCTGAGACCGAGCTGCAGAAGCTGGGAAATGGTGTGAGTGTGCAGCCACCTAGCCTGGGGGCCTGTCCAGGTTTCTCTCAGCCCTGGGTTGGGGTGGGGCAGTGCAGAGGACCCAGAGCTTGGAGTCTCATCCAATCAGCTTTGTATACTCCACAGCTACAGGGAGAAGTGAAGTGGGCACTGGAGCAGTACAGGGCTGAGCAGCAAGCCCTGGAGATGCGCGTGTGAGTAGCTGCTTTGCCTGGCACAGGGCACGGATCAGCTGTTCCCCAGGAGCAGAGGGAGTCCCCTACCCTGGGTCCGACTAAGCTCACACCCATGTCTGCAGGGCAGCCCTGGGCCGGCAGCTGCAGGGAGCCCAAGAGGAGGCCAGAGCAGCTGGGCAGCGACTGGCTACACAAGGTGTGGTAAGGCCCAGCCATACCCACTTTGAGATCTGGGGGATGGGGTCCTTCCTATAAGCTTAGTAGAGGTTCACCTCAAGGATCATAGATTCAGGGCTGCCTCCATCCCCAGGTGCTGTCCACCTGCCAGGGCCAGCTCCGCCAGGCTGAGAGCGAGAATGCCAGGCTGCAGCTGCAACTCAAGAAGCTGAATGAGGAGTACACCATCCGGTTGCAGCGCTGTGCCCAAGCCCTGGTGGTGAGCACCGGGCAGGGTGGCCCGGTTGTGGGTGAGAGGCCCACAGGTCCTGGGGAGCCCAAGCCTGGCCTGAGTTTACTGGACTGCTTCAGAGACGCTCTGGGCTTCACCTGCTGCACTGCAGGACCTGCTCCACAGAGGGGATTGGGGGCAGGGGTGTGGACCCCATCAAGCTCAGGCCCCACCCCATCTCTCCAGGAGTATGCAGATGGTGCAAGCCCGGCACCTACAGCTGTAGCCCTTCGGAAATTCCTGGAGACCACTCTGAAGGACATTCGAGCAGCACACCACAGCCGTGAGCAACAGCTGGCCCGGGCTGCTCGCGTCTACCGAAAGCGCCTGGCAGATCTGAGCCGAAGGCATGAGGAGCTGTTAGGTGCCCACAGGTAGGCCCTTCCCCTGAGACGGGCATCTGGGGTGTGGTGGCTCCACATGACCTCCCATGTGGCTTAGTGTGCAGCAGGTGCTGGTGGACCTCAATAGGGTACCTGGGATCCCCAAGGCTACCTCTGATGCAGTCACCTCGGACCTGGAGCCACTGCCTCTGCACCTGGTCACAGAGCTTGGCCACCTGAGGGAGGACCAGGCAAAGCTGGAGACACAGCTCAGGAGGCTCCAAATCCAGGTGACCCCTCCCTGCTGCCCCACATTAGCCTTGGGGCACAGAGCCTAGAACTCACCCTGGGGCCCATCCCAGGCTCAGCAAAGCCCCACCACAGGGCCTCTGGGCAGCCCACCTTGTTCAATTTACAGAATCCCTATCACACAGCCTTATCTTGAGGGCTTAGGATGCTGTTCTTTTTCTCACAGAAGGAAACTGACAAAGCCTCCCAGGGGAGCATATCAGAGCCACAGTGAGTGACCTGATGTAGGTGTTGGGGGGACCTGCAAGGGAGTCATTCATTTATTCTACCAACTCTTAACTGCTGGGAGGGGTTTTGGTAGCAGCAATGAACAAGGTGGTGGGTCTGTGCCATCTCTCGGGTCTGTCTGTATGGGAGACAATAATAATTATAGAAAAGCCAAGTGCCTGAGGTGAAGAAGAGCCTGATGGGAGAAGGGCTGACCTCAAATGGGAGGGTTAAGGAGAGCCTGGGAAAAGATGTTTCAGTTGAGTCCAGAGAACAGGGCAGGAGCAGGCTACCGGTGCCCTTCATAGCCTTTGCCTCTGGGCCTCCATGCTTCAACCGCGCAGTGAGCAGGGGCTCATGCAGGCCTACCTCCCAGGGTAGGTAGGGGAGGCTCCCCATCAGTATCCTTACAGACAATATGGTCACTTTCCAAGCTGGCCTGTGGCTTAACTGTCCCTGAACAGCCAGTGGGGCCCTCTTGGCCTGGGCTTCCCTGCCCCACCCCTGCACATAAGGCTCCCATAGTGGTAGGGTAGGCCCATGGTGTCCTGAACTTGCCTCTAGCAGTCACCTCAAGTGTTTAGCTGCCCCGACTTGAACAGGGTCACTGGTCAGCTCCTGTTCAAGCCAACACCAGCCTCATGTCCACCCCCCTTCTTTGCTCACAGAAGCCTGGAAACTGCATCCCTGGCCCAGACCCACCAGAAACTCCTGGACTTCTACCGTGGCACCCAGGTAGTGAGTGGGCAAGGCCTGGCCAGGGATCCCTCCTCAAACTCTGATCTGGCTCACGGCTTATGCCCCTCCATGACAGGCAAAGCTGGAACAGGAGCGGGCACAGCTGCTAGCCCGAGCCACGGTGGCTGAGGCACAACTTTCCGAGCTTCAGGAGTATGTGGACCAGCACTTAGGCAGGTAAGCTCTCGGAAAGGTGGGATAGGGGTGGGTCCCAAACACGAGAGGCAAGCAGGTGACTAAGCCTGGTCCTTCTGAGCAGGTACAAGCAGGAGATCCTCAGGCTAAGGAAGCTGGTGGGTTCAGGAGATCTCCAGAAAGTGGAGGCCGCGCCTCCAGCCAAGCCTCAGCGCCCAAGGTCCCGCAGCCGCTAACCAGTCATCAGACTCGGAGCACAACTCTTCCTGGCCAGCATGGAACTTTCCCCACAGCCCCAGCTTGGATAGTCATTCATCCCAGCCCTCCACACAACAAGAGTCAGGGTGGAGCCCACGGAGTCTTTATTGTGTCTACATGGTCAGCCAGCCTGAGGATCAGGGGCCCTAGGGACCAAGGCAGAACTGGGTGCTGGGGCAGCCTGCCCAGCTGGCCCACCACTGTGGATGTCATAGGCCCAGACACGGTCCAGGCCCTCACCTACCACAGCCACAGGCTGCCAGGTGGGAAGGGGGAAGCGTCCTGACACCACACGGGCCCCCTCGGGCAGTTCCGCCTGTAGCTTTCCCTCCAGTAGTGGGAGCTGTGGGAGAGAGGAGAGTGGGGTGAGCAGGGCAGAACACAACTGCTCCCTCCCAGCTCCTCCAGCTCCTCCAGGTCCAGCACATACAGTGGGTGGCCTGGGCCACCTCTGGGGCTAGCAAACCCCAGACCTACCACGCTGGGGGCCAGGAACACAGACACATTATGACAGTCCCTCAGGCTCACCTGTGGGAAGAAGAGGTCACCCATTAGGGAATGGGACTCCAGCCCTGGAAGAGGTCTGGTGGGCACGAGGTTACCTCAATTTCTGAGTGCCAGCCCCCAGCCTGCCCAGGAGGGTAGCCAAGACAGAACTGGAAGCGTGGAGATCAGGTGTGGGGTCTGAAGGGATCCAGAACTCCCCAGGTTACCTTCCAGAGGTCCTTACGGTGGTAGCAGACACTGCCGGCACAGCCTGCCCTCCAGGCATAGAACCTGGCCAGCCCCACAAGCCACGGGTTCAACTCATAGCCCACAGCTGGGCGGAGACCGCGTCTGTGGGCAGCCAGCACCTGTGGGCACCAACAGCGTCAGAACCAACAGGTGCAGAGGTGCGCTGGAGGGAGAGAGCAGTCAGGAGGGCCACCCCCACAAGTAGTGAGGGCACTCCTCCCGTCCCCCACTACTTACGATCCTGCCATCGCCAGAGCCCAGGTCCACCAGCTTTCCAGAACGGCCTCGCAGCAGCGACAATACATGCTCCACTTGCCGCACACTCGCCCCAACATAGGGCACCTGGGCAAGGAGAAAGATGTCGCTGGGAGGGCTGGAGTCCATTTGCCACTCAGGCTCTTCACATGTCTGGTCCCCAAATCGGAATCACACGGGGCGCGGGGCGGAGCCTGCCTCCTGGGCTCCTTTCTTAGCAAGGGCTGTCCTTCCCTACCTGAAACAGGTCCCAGCCCACAGCCCGGCTGGCCCCCAAGTGCCGCACACACCCCGCTTCACAACCGGTTTAGCTTCTCAATTCAGGCCCCCACCCCCACCTTGACCCCACCCACTGGCCAGACCCCGGCCCCGCCCACCCGCCCAGGGCCCCGCCCCGCAGGCCCCGCCCCGCAGGCCCCGCCCCGCAGGCCCCGCCCCGCAGGCCCCGCCCCGCAGGCCCCGCCCCGCACCTGCAGGCGCAGCGGCACTCGGCGGAAGCCCGGCTGCAGTAGGAGCGCCCACACGGCGTAGGCGGCCAGCCCAGTGCCCGCTGCCACCTGCAGCAGTTCAGATGGGCCCGGCCTACGCTCACGCAGCTCCGTCAGAGCGTCGTCTGCATCGTCCTGCTCCATGGCTGCGGAACACGTTGCTCAGAGTTACCCTTCCCCAGGCCTGAGACCTCACAACCGCCAGCGACGCCGCCGGAAGTGGCAAGGCGGAGGCCGCGGTGACGCAGGAAGAGCCGACAGGACACGCGGCCGGTCTCCGCGTTCCGCTGCGCCTGGCGCAGGGTCCCCTGGCACTCCCCCGAAAGCGATTTTCAACTGGGGTGCTGCACCCGTTTCTAAAACATGCAGTACCTGACTATTTAGTCGGGGGCACTGACCTCCTTTCCCTTAGATTGTCAAATAAAAAAATGAGCCCTGGCCGGTTTGGCTCAGCGGTTAGAGCGTCGGCCTGCGGTCCTGAGAGACCCGGGTTCAGTTCCCGCTAAGGGCATGTACCTCGGTTGCAGTTTGTCCCCGGCCCTGGTTGGGGTTGTGCAGGTGGCAGCCACTTGATGTGTCCCTTTCACATCGATGTTTCTCTCTCTCTCTCTGTTCCTCTCTCTCCCCCCCACTCTACCTGAACAAAAAATGGAAAAATGTCCTCGGGTGAGGATAAAAAAATTTTTAAAAAAATGACAACGGTGAATCAAAAGTATATCTTTTCTGTTTTGTCAGATCGGCAAAAAAATATATTTTTTGGTGTGTCTGAGAATTTTAGTCATTCGTTTTTGCGTGCCATGAGATGGAAAAGGTTGAAAGTCACTGCCCTAAAGCCTGAAGAGCGCCATCACCCCACCGGGTTCCACAGCCAGCAGCTGGACCCTGAGGACAAGGATGACTCCTCCTGCCTCAGAGCCATTGTTCTTTTAGGTAAGGCCACTGAAGAAACCGTCATGGGATCCCTCCATCATCTTGTACCCTAGCAGTTGAAGCCCTCCTGTATTCTCATCACACTTAATACTTTTCCACCCGTTGTCTCACCTATGAAATCCTCTTGCTGACCACTCCTGGTATAACTTTCTCGCTGTCTTAATCTTGACCTGGCTATTATCCCTTCCTACACTGACAAAACCTCTTAAGGCTGCTTGATGCTGATGGATTACCTTTTGACTCCCCATTGTAGGAAGTTTCTCTTAACCAGTGCAGATTTTTAATGGTTTACTGATCGTTCTTAGTTTTCTTTTACTTTTTTTCAATCTTCACCTGAGGATTGATTTGAGAGAGAGAGATAATTGTGAGAGAGAAACATTGGTTGCCTCTCATGCACGCCCCAACTAGGGACCAAACCTGCAGCCTAGGTATGTACCCTGACAGGGAATTGAACCTGAGACCTTTCAGTGTACAACACTCTAACCAAATGAGCCACACGGGCCAGGCCAGGGCTGATCATTCTTATTTAAATGGTAAATATTGGGCTGGGTATACTATTGCAACAACTTTTTTAGTCATCAAAGCAGCACCAATAGTCGCTATGCCTTTGAGGTAGCTCATGACCTTGGAATACTATGGCAACCGAGAGGTTTCCTTACCTCTAATAGGGATACAATGTAAAATGGCTCTTAAGACCAGAAACTATTAGATGTCATACTCCTACCAGCTGCCTTGGCTATTAAGATACTTGGGCATTCCAAGCTTGACTCCCAGGAGGCTAAAGGAAACCACCTCACTGATGTATTTCCGCCAAGAACAATGCTCTCAAAGGAACCAATAGCCAAACCTCTGTCATGGTCCAAAGGGATGTTCCCCCAAATGATAATTTAGAAAAATTGACTAGCAATGCTCTAAAATTGGCCCCATTAAAGCAAAAACAATATTGGAACTCTACTAAATATCAGTTCGATAAAGAGAACTCTGTCTTGGGCCAAATAACAATCCACTCCTGCCAGAAATTCTAAATTCCCATTACTGTCTACTATACATGCATTGAATCGTTGGTCTTGTGATAAAATCATAACCTTTATGAACCGATAGTGGTGTGGAAACAGTAATAAGTTCACCAAAAAGCACCTACTTTTCTTGCCCCAACTGCCCAAAATATAATCCAGAAAAAAAACTGTTTACACCACCCCCAGACATTTTAAATTGCCCAATGGCCCTGGCTGGTTTGGCTCAGCAATTAGAGAGCATCCACATGTGGTCCAGAGAAACCCAGGTTCAGTTCCCGCTAAAGGCAAGTACCTCGGTTGCAGTTTGTCCCCAGCCCCGGTTGGGGTCGTGTGGGTGACAACACAGTCGATGTGTCTCTCTCACATCAATGTTTCTCTCTCTCTCTTCCTCTCTCCCTCCCACTTTATCTGAAGATAAATGCAAAAATGTCCTTGGCTGAGGATTTTTAAAAATAAATAAATAAAATAAATCGCCCAATGGATCATTCAAGGTTTTGCAAATGGACTTTATTCATCTACCCCCGTCTCATGGATAGAGGTATGTCTTGGTAATGATTTGTGTTTTCCAATTGGGTCAAAGCCTTTCCATGTTGACAAGCTACATGTCTCTTCAGTGCCTAGTCCTATTGGAAAAAATCATCCCTACCTGAGGAACCCCTCTTGAACTCCATAGTAACTGGGGAACCAGTTTTACTGGTCAACTATTATGGCAAGACTGTGCTATTTGGCCAGTTCTGTAGCATTTTCATGTATCATCCTCAGTCCTCAGGACTAGTTGAACAAACCAACAGCATTATCAAAACTCAATTGGCAAAATTTATGGAAACCCTCCAACTACCTTGGCCAAAAGCATTACCATTAGTCCTTCTAAATCTCAGATCCACCCCCTTTGGAACTCATAAATTCTCAATCACTGATAGTCACAGGATGCCTGATTCATCTAGTCCCTGCCTCTTTTGATCTACAGCTAATAAAAGGAGATATACTTCACCTGGCCAGTGTGGCTCAGTGGTTGACTGTCAACCCATGCACTAAGAGGTCACTGGTTTGATTCCTGGTCAGGGCACATGCCCAGGTTGTGGGCCCAATCCCCAGTGGGGGACATGCAGGAGGTGGCCAATTGATGTTCTCGCATCAATGTTTCTATCTCTTTCTCCCTCTCCCTTCCTCTCTCTCTAAAAATTAAAGGAAAAAAAGGAGATATCCTTCAATATTGAAAAAGTCTATTACATCCATAGAAAAAAAAACATGTTTTAGTTTGCAATAGCAAACACCATCTGCTAAACATGGATAAATTCTTCTGGAGAAGAATCCTAATTACACAAAACTTAGGGAACAACGCCCATTGGTTACAGCAAATTTCACCTGATTCTCCATGGTCCTTTGACCTATTTAGCTGCTTACTTCAGGTCTGAGCTCCTGATTTAGAGCCATTATACAAACTGGATTTTGTTCTGCTCATTTTGTTTTGTGTAATTTTCTTTTTCTTTAATCCTCACCCGAGTATGTTTTTGTTTTGTTTTTTTATTGATTCTACAGAGAGAGTAAGGAAGACAAAGAGAAACATCTAGTGATTGGTTGCCTCATGAACGTGCCCCAACTGGGGATCAAACCCAAAACCTGGGTATGTGCCCTGACTGAAAATTGAACCTATGACCCTTTGGTGCGTGGGATGACACTCTAACCATTGAGTGACACAGGCCAGGGCTGTTTTGTAGACTTTTCGAACTTTGTACCTGTTGCCTGTCAAGCTTCTGCAGCAATGATGCACTAGACGATGCTGGCTCATTGCTTTGAGGTGATCTGCAATGCTTATAACCCTGATAAAACAGACTTTAGATGGGAATGCCCTTCTGCCCTTCCTTGTTCTTCAATCATTTCCAATCCCTATGCACTTTCCCCTGTACAAGGAACATGCCAACCAGGAAAAGTCCCTCCTGACACAGAGGGACAAAACTATTAAATGTAGAAAAACTGATTATTGGTCAGTGATGCTTTCAGAGAAAGATCTTGATCAAAGGGGGAAATGTTAAAATGAATAAAGAAAACCTCATAAAATTGGAGTCAGGAAACCTTGAAGGGGCAGCTCTCCCACACTCACTGCACCAAGCAGACAGGAAGAAGTCTAATTTACTAATCCAGCAGGAGGAAATTGTTCTCCTTACCCAGCAACAGCTTGGCCAATGAGAAGCCATCGCCACCCAGAACAGCCAGGTAGAGCTGGCCTTCCTCTCCAGGGCTCAGGTCTTAGGAGCAGGGCACCTCAGTTTATTGCCATTTAGGGACACCTGTCTTTCAAGACTGGTGGCAACTGGGGCCCAGTACTAGCAAGCACAGAAGGCACTTTGCACTTGGGAGGTGGGGGTAAGTAAGGGTCTTGGGTGTGCCCAGTGTCTGAAGCAGCTTATACCCCTGCGGGGGCTTCTGGCCAGGGCTGTGGATGGCTGAAGAGCCAGGCCAGGTCCTGTGTGCAAACAAACCCCTAACGTTCACAGTATTTGGCCCCAGAGTAGGATGAGAAGGACGTCCTGGCTCTGCCACTTGATCCAGGGCTCCGTCCCCCTACTCCTGGGCTGTGTCAGATCGCCCCTGGGAAGTCAATAAAAAAAAAAAAAACGTTTTAATTGGATTTTTGTTTTTAGACACATCGATTTGTAGTTCTACCTATTTATGCATTCATTGGTTGATTCTTGTATGTTCCCAGATTGGGGATTAAATCCACAACATTGGCACATTGAGACAGTGCTCTAACCAACTAAGCTACCTGGCTAGGGCCTCAATGTTGTTGACATCTTCTGGAGAAAGAAAGAGTTCCAGGGCCTGGGGCTCTTTCTTCAATGACCATGGCTGGGCACTCCGCCAGCCAGTCTAGCTCCTCACATCCGACTCCCCTCCCACCACACTCACAGAGAGCCAACAACATCTGTCTTCTCGGGTCTGCTCAATTTCCTTCCCATCACTCCCCTCCTCCCTGTCCCTCAGCTGAGCTCCAAATTCCACTGCCCCCTCTCCCTCAGACACCAGAACATCCTGTTTCCTGCTCACGTGGATTAATGGCCTTCAGCTGTGGGAGGGAGGCCAAAGGTGTCCTAGGCTTGGCTGGATTTTGGGGGTCCTGATCAGCAGAGCCCCCACCAGTCTCCCTGAAACAGCTATGTAGGGCCTGGCTGTGACCCCACGTAGCTAGGCCTAGATGTTGGCCACCCAAATGAGTCCATTTTCCACTGTCAACCTTAAAATAAGCCCTGGCCCGTGTTGATCAGTGGTAAGAGCATCAGCCCAGGTTTGATTCCCCATCAAGGGCACATACCTGGCTTGCGGGTTCGATCCCAGCCCCAGTTGGGGCAAGTGCGGGAGGTAACCAAATGATGTGTCTCTCTCACGTCAATGTTTCTCTCCCCCCCCCCCCTTCCACTCTCTCTAGAAATCAATGGGAAAAAAAATATCCTTGGGTGAAGATTAACTAAAAAATAAATAAAATGACCATTTTACCAGCAAAAAATGAGTATTTCAGAATGGCAGCGGCATTGCAGTTTTGAGCTTGTGAACTGGTGAACCACAGGTAAGTCTGGAGAACAAAGGGGAACTTTATTTTATTTAATAATTTTTTAAATTGATTTTAGAGAGAGAGGAAGGAAGAGGGAGAGAAAGATAGAAACATCGATGAGAGAGAACATCTATTAGCCGCCTCCTGTACGCCCCCCACTGGGGTTCGGGCCCACAACCTGAGCAGGTGCCCTGACCAGGAATCGAACCGGCAACCTCCTGGTGCATGGGTCCACACTCAACCACTGAGCCACACAAGCTGGGCAAGGGAAACTTTATTTTATAGAGAAAAAGAAGGAAGTTGGGAGAAGTAGTTACAAGCAAAAGTCCACTGGAGCCTGGCTGGTGTGGCTCAGTGGTTGAGCGTCAGCCCATGCACCAAGAGGTCGCCAGTTTGATTCCCGGTCCAGGCACATGTCCAGGTTGTGGGCCTGATCCCCAGTGTGGGGCATGCAGGAGGCAGCCAGTCGATGTTCTCTCATCAATGTTTCTCTCTCTCTCTCTGAAAAAAAATAAAGAAAAAAAATTTTTTTTTATCCTCACCTGAGGACATTTTTGCATTTATCTTCAGGTAGAGTGGGAAGGAGAGAGGGAGGAAGAGAGAGAGAGAAACATCGATGTGAGAGAGACATATCGAGTGGTTGCCAGCCACATGACCCCAACAAGGGCCAGGGACAAACTGCAACCGAGGTACCAAACCCAGGGAACTGAACCCAGGACTCTCTGGTCTGCGGGCCGACACTCTAACTGCTGAGCCAAACCAGCCAGGGTGGAAAAAAAAATTTTTTTAAAACTCCACTGGAGAATCCTGTCTCCTTGGGGCTGTCACTATGCCCTCCACAGAAAGGAAGGGTGTGCCCTAGGCTCTAGGCTGGGGAAGTCTTACACAGCACTGTCTTTCCTTGCATTATCCCCAGTGCTTAGAGCAGCACCAGCACTTGGAAGGCACTCAGTAAGAGCTTGTTGACTAAATGCATGCCATCTAAGTGGCCTCCCCAGGATACACACCCAACTCTCTCCAGTTCACATCTGGCCCTCTGCTCCTCAGCCTTGGGGCACCAGGCAGTCGTGTGTGTCCTGTGAGTGCACACACCCTCAAGTGTTCCACAGGTGCCCCAAAGACCAGCTTGCATAGCACCAGCCTGCATGCTCAACACTGCTCCCCTTTGGCCACTCCCCGCAGCACAGGCAAAGCCCCTGGCCCCAGACTTCCAGGGCTCTGGTGGTCCTGTTAGCCATACCCACTCCTGCTCTTTGTGCTCCTGTGAGAAGAGGGCTGGTTGCAGCCAGTGTGTGCATGGGAGGCTCAGGCACTCCTGGGGCAGGGGGGCAGTTGCCAGTGTCCAGCCTAGGGCCCCCTCCAGGGCAGCTGCCCTTTTTTTTTAATCCTCACCCGAGGACATTTTTACATTTATCTTCAGATAGAGCAGGAGGGAGAGGAGAAGAGAGAGAAAGAGAAACATCAATGTGAGAGAGACACATCGAGTGGTTGCCACCCACGACCCCAACCAGGGCCAAGGACAAACTGAAACTGAGGTACATGCCCTTAGCAGGACCCAAACCTGGCACTCTCTGGTCCGCAGGCTGACGCTCTAAACGCTGAACCAAACTGGCCAGGGCGGCAGCTGCCCATTTTTGTGGACAGGTGGTCAGAGGCAGTCCAGTCACCACTGGATGTGGCCGGGGCCTCATTTCAACCAAGAGGCTGTGGGGAGCTGGCCGAGAATCAGGGCAAGGCCAAGGGTGAGGGTGCTGCTCAGCCTTGTAGGGGAGCCGTCCTTGGGGCCTGCCCAAGACAGGGAGGAGAAGGCCAGTCAGGGTACCCTCACTTCTTCCTCCTCTGGTCTTGGCTGAGATACTCCCTGGCTGGTGGCGGCTAACAGGTCTGCAGTCCATGAAAAAGGTCCAGACTAGAGATCAAAACGTAAGGGTCATCAGCACATTGATGGTATTTAAAGCCATGAGCTTGCCCGGTCAGTGTGGCTCAGTGGTTGAGCATCGATCCATGCACCAAGAGGTTGCTGGTTCGATTCCCGGTCAGGGCACATGCCCAGGTTGTGGGCCCGATCCCCAGTGGGGGGCATGCAGGAGGTGGCCAATTGATGTTCTCTCTCATCAATGTTTCTATCTCTCTCTCCCTATCCCTTCCTCTCTCTCTCTAGAAATCTATAAAGAAAAAAAAATTAAAGCCACGAGCTTGGGGAGGTAAGGAGTGGTAAGAAGCCTCAGAAGGGGAGGAGGGGCAGAGATGGGAGGAAGCCCAGTGAGGCTGGCCTTTCAGGGTAGCTATACTCCCCCCGCCCTGTAATTCTCACCCGCCCCATAGTGAGTAAAAAGACCAACCCCACCATGCATGTGCAGCTTCCAGACAGCCACTCCATGGGAAGTTCAGTGTCCCCTGAATCTGGAGAAAGAGGTCCTGTGTATGGGACCTGCACAGCCTTGTCTCTCTCACCTCAGTTCCTGTCTGAAAGATGGCAGGTCCTCCTGGCTCCCATCAGCACCCTTGGCCCCCTTCCCACCAAGAAAAGCAGGTGAGGATGGGAAGCTGTTTCTAGGGTTCAGTCCAGGAGTCTCCCCAGACTTGAGCTTTTCTTTCCTAGGATCTATGGGGTTGAGGTAAGCAGAGTGAGCTCATTCAGGGTTCAGAAGCCCCCACATCTGCTAGCTTTGTCCAGAATCACTGACCCTTTATGTGGCTGAAGCTGGAGGAAGGCGGGGGCAACAATAATGGGGCCACTGGTGGGCAATGCCCCTTGTGTGCGCCCACCAGCTGGAAACAGCAGCAAGCAGGACCCCATAGGGGAGACCCCACACTCCACGGGCTCTGCACCACATCAGGAAGCTCAGCCCATGGCAGGGGCCTAGGGACAGAGGGCCCATCCTTCCCTGAGGGCAGAGTGGGGCCAGGATGACTGCTGGGTTCCCAGTGAACCACAGAGGAAAGGTGACACAGGGCCAGATTGCAGCCCCTTTCCTCCCGGCTGGGAATGATGATGGCCTTCCTGCCCCAACAAGGGACACAACCTTTGCCACTCCCGCTCTGAGCCTTGAAAGCACCTGATGTTGAGGATCGGAACAGCAGAGCTGAGGCTCATGTGGGTGGGGAGTCCAGGCACACCCCCACCCAGCAGCAGCCCCTCTCCAGGGCGTGGGCACTCATGAGCTGAGTGGTCTTGGACAAGACACCACTGCCCTCAGTCTCCCGAAGTGCAAAGCAGGCTGGGCTCAGGTACGGGACACTCCACCTACATGGAAATCAATGTTTTCATTGGTTATTGTTATTCCCTCAAAGCAGGTGGTACTGTGATGCCCTTTGGAGGCCAACCCCTCCCCATCCACCCTCCTCCTGGCCCCTCTCCAGAGCCCTGCTCCCAGACCCCTCAGTCCAGCACCACCTCACAGGGGTAGAGATGGTTGGCATGGGCAGCTGTATAGGCACGGCTGAATCCCTGGAAGCGGGGTGCACAGCCAAGCCAGGCCTCACCAAAATGGCTCCAGCCCAAAAAGAAGAAGGTGCCAGGGCCAGGGCAGACACCACGGCGCAGTGGAGTGCGAATGGGGGCCTGTACCTGGTCCCCACAGCCCCCCCTGGAACAGTGGCAGTGTCTGGCGGAAAACACGGACAGCTGCCACGGTGATAACAGATTCCTGCAGCTCTGTGTCGTGGGCAATCCTGTGGATGGTCCCATGGATCACTGCAGGGAGACACACTGGCCAGTTGCTGGCATATAGAGGAGGGTAGGTCCCAGGCTTCCTCCTCCTCCCCTCATTGGCATGGCAGGGACCCTCACCAAAGTCACTAGTGCACAAGGCCAGGAGAAACTCGGTGTCACTACAGGGCCTGCAGACACCTGGCATGCAGGGGATATGGTCAGTGTAGGCCCTGCCCTCTTCTGGATGACCCAAGGCCTCCCCCCACCAGCCAGAAGCAGGAGGGAGAGGGCAAGTGACCAGACACCCGCTCCGGGCCATCAGGGAGTTGGGATCCCAGGGAGCACATGTGTACAAACCCCAAAGACACCCTGCATTGGGGGTGATACCTGCAGGCTGCTGCAGGCACTCCACAGATGTACATAGACATGGGCCCAAGGGTTGTGCCCACCTGAAGCTCAGTGTCCTGGTGCACGCTCTGGCTCACTGATCTTGCATATGCGGTCACCCGTGTGGCCTCCCAGAGCTGCCCACCGTGGTCTCCCCCACCTGCCTTCAGGGCCCAGAGACACCAGCCTGGGGGGTGGGGGTGGAGGTGGGGCTGGAGAAGCTCCAGGGCGCCGCCCGCCCGCTCAGCGAAGACCTGGACGCCTGCGAAGGGCCTCACCGGCTGCAGGCAGGGATGCGGGGCCGGGCGCCGGAGTCAGAGCCGCCCAGGGTCAAGCGCAGCACGTCGGCTGGTATAACCATTGGATCCCGCCCTCCGCACAAGCCAGGGCCAGCTGTCCCACGCTGCCGGCCTCCTGAGTCAGGCCGCTAGGGACAGACACGCGGGACTTAGGCGAGCGCCCAGCATCCTCCCCCAGCGCAGCCCCTCCCCTGCAGCCGCTACCCTGCTGCGTCCACTCTGTGGAGAGGGAAACTGAGGCCTAGTGTCCTCTGCACTCGGAAAGGAGGGCAGGGGTTCAGTGCGGGGGATGAGCACTTCAGCCCCAAACCCAAAGAGTGGGCTATACCATCCCGCAGGCCCCAGAGGGCTGACCGTGGGGGTCGCACCTGCCCTGTCAGCTGCAGCGGTCCTCCGAGAAGCCTGCGCGGGCGACCTTGGCCAAGAGGCCGCAGCAGAGGGCGCACAGCAGCGCTGGGGGCGGCATGACTCTGGGACAGGGCGGCGGGGCGACCAGGGTCACCAACCCTGCCGCTAGGTCGGGCAGCCAGTCAGGTGCGGAAGCTGCCGGAGGCGGGCTAGGCGGGCGGCCAATCACGGCACTACCCTGGAACTTTCCGCCAATCGCAGCAGCGCTTGCGGGGATGGGAAGACAATCCGGCGACCTCAGAGACGCTGGGAAGGGGGCTCTTAGCATTGGGTGCTCTGTGTCGCCCCCTCGAGGTCCTCCCGCCCGCAGCCTTGTGCATAACGCCCCGGTTGGCCTGCTGTCCTCTGAGCCGTTGGCCAGGGTGGGGTGGGTTTGGTGACCACTGGGACCTGGGGGCGGGGCTCATCACGGGTGGTCCTTTCCAAGATTGGGACCTGGCCTCTCAGTCCGCATCCCACCCAACCTGGGCCCAACCAATCCCAGGAGGCTGCAGATACCCAAGGGAGATGCGGCCAGGTGTTTGGGCTGACCGGCACCTGTTGCAGAAGCGGAGGGGCAGTCCTGAGCCATAAAGTCAGGCCCCGGGACGTTCTGACATGGACGCTGAAATGGGGCCCACTCTTCAAAATGAAGAGGAGTGGGGGTGGGGCACAGAGATTTCCCATAGCCAGGATTCCCTCTGAGAGGAGGGTCTGGAGAGTTGCTAGCCAATGGGGACTGGAGAGATTCCAGGCCTGGGCAAAGGCCCTGATGTGGGGGACAAGTGGACCGGGCCCTCAAAAGCCCCAGAAACCGCCAGGGTCATCTCACAGAGAGGACTTAGCCACAAAGCCAGAAGTCCAACCTCATGCCCAATCCCTTGGGGTCACTGAGAACTTTAGCTGGATCTTCAGGAACCAGAATAGACTTTCTAACATCTGTGATGTGAGCCCTCCACCCCACTGTCCCCAAACCCCATCCCTCCTGCTACCCCTTGGCCTGAGTGCATGGCTGACAGATGAGGGCAAATAGCCCATGGGGAAAGGGGAGGTTGGAGCAGTTGCCAGACTGAGCCTACCACTGCCCTCTTCCATGGTCCCAGGGCCAAAGAAGGGTAAGACACCTACAGGGCTGAGCTACTGGGGTGAGAACCACCAGCTATCACTACACAACAGCCAAGAGGTGGACACAACCCAAGTGTCCATCAACAGATGAACAGATGAACAAAATGTAGTCCATTCATATAGTAGAATATGATTTAGCCTTTAAAAGGACAGAAATGCCCTGGCCAGTTTGGCTCAGTGATTAGAGCGTCGGCCCGCAGATTAGAGTCCTGAGTTTGATTCTGGCCAAGGGCACATACCTCGGTTGCAGTTTGTCCCTGGCCCTGGTTGGGGTTGTGTGGGAGGCAACCAATCAATGTGTCTCTCTCACATTGATGTGCGCTCTCTCTCTCTCTCTCTCTCTCTCCCCTCTCTCTCTCTCTCTCCTCTCTCCCTCCCTCCTGCTCTATATGAAGATAAATGGAAAAATATCCTCAGGTGAGGATTTTTTTAAAAAAGGACGGAAATTATGACACACTACAATATGGATGAGCCTATCCTGAGGACATTATGCTCAATGAAATAAGCCAGTTACAAAAAAACAAATACTGTATGATACCACTTCTGTGAGGTTCCTAATTCACAGAGACAAACTAGAATGGTGGATGCCAGGGCTTGGAGAAAGGGGAACGGGGAATTAGTGCTTAACCAGGACAGAGTTTAGTTTGGAAAGATGAAACGTTCTGGAGATGGATGATGGTAATGGTTCCATTGCAATGTGAATGTACTTAAACACTACTGAACTGTACACCCAAAAATGGTTAAGATGGCTAAGTTTTACATTATGTGTATTTTACCTAACTAAAAATAAAAAGGGGTAGTCGGGCCCTGGGGCTGGGCCCTATAAGGCAAAAGAGGCACTGTAGAGGAAGGGAGAAGGCACCAGGTCAGCTGCTATGGCTGCCCTTGCCAAGGCCCTGGGTCCACTTGTGGCTGGTCACTAGGGCATTGGCAGTTCCTGCCCAAGCCTCTGAGGCAGAGTGGGCTCCGGGCGCCCTCTGGTGGCAGTATAAAAAAAACAGCCTCAACGCCCCCACCCCCTCCAGCTGGCCTGGGCCCCCTGGCTCCCCACCTCAACCTTCCCCCAGATAATGGGTCAGTATCTGTGGGTATGAGGGAAGGGTTTCTGACAGGAGACCTGGTCTAGAAGGACCACACACCTAGCCCTGAGCTGTATCTTCACCAGGCTTCCCCTTCCCCTGCCTCTTCTTTGAGGGGCCAGGCGATGATATTTGAGCCGGCTGTCCTCACAGCCCCCGCCCCACCCAGGAAAGCACTTGGGTGTTGTTAGCCATGGAAAGCCTGCTGGCCTTGAGACAGGGAGCCCAGAAGGCCATGATCAGCCTTGACTGCTGTGCATGCAGGACCAGAGTCATTGCAGGTGCCCAGTAAATACCTGAAGAATGAGTGTTTGTGCCAATAAGTGAATAAGTGAGTGAGTGAATGATATCCCAAACCTCAGGCAAATCCCCCGATGTGTATGCTCAGTTTGGGGCTCCTTTGCATCTCCCAGCTCCAGACCCTCAGTGTCTTGACCTTCCAAAAAGGGCCTCTCTCCATTCCCACATAAAACCAAGGTCCTGGTACAAGGCTGGAGCTGATGCTGGGATAAGGAGCAGTCGGAGGTGAGCCCTGACCTGAACAGTGCCTGGGAGAGGTGGCACTGACCTCCAGCAGGGGAGGCAACCCCACAGAGTGAAGGACACTGCCAGGAAGCTCACAGTGCTGGGGACCCAGGCAAGGAGCAAGGCAAGGAGCATTGGGGGCCAGGGGAGCAACACAAAAGCCAGAGAAGAGTGCCCCAAGTCTGGGGAACACAGGGCAAGGGTCCCAAGGCCAGGATAGAATTCAGGGCAAACCAGGAAGGTGGCCAGTGGGACGCAGGCAGGGCCAGTCCCAAGCCCAACGGCCAGGGGAGAGTTTGGGGACAGCAGACAGAACCCGTGTGAAAATGGTGAGGAGCCCAGGAAGAGGGGTCAAGCCTCCCACTTGCCCAAGACCTCCCACCTGGGCTCCCACTTCAGCAAAAGCAGGGAAGAGGGAGAGATATGGGCTGAGCAGAGGCCAGCCCCACCCACATCACCAGCTGAGCCTGTGGCCACTCAGACCCCTGCAGCTAGGCCACCTGCACTTCTGGGTGGGGCTGGGGACCAGGGACAGCAGGTACAGTTTCCACAACTGAGGGCCAGGGGTGCCAGGAGTCCTCCAGAACCCGGGCCACCCAGTGATGTGCTCTGATGGTGCCATGAACATGGGCCTGGATCACCCCTGCCCACCCTGACCTATGGAGGCCCAGGGTGCTGAAGTGACAGCCCTCTCAGAGACCCCATCAGGGAGATGTTCATATCTGCCAATTATTGCAGGCAGCCTGTGCAACCTCTGAATCCCCTTTTCACCTGCACCTCACTCTCCCAGCCCTACCCCAGGCAGAATCTAGCTTTGCCAGCTATGAGCTTACACCTTGGGATATGGGGCAAGTTTCCTGTAGCTGGGATATTTTCCTCCTCTTGACAAGAAACACACACAAACACACACACACCTTGCATCTTCTCTGGGAGCCAAAAATGCAGTTGCGACTGATTTGCAGCTGAGCTAAAAATAACTGCCAGACTCCAGTGGGGACTGGGAAAATATCCCATTGCTAGGAGACAACCGTTACCAGGAGACTGGCATTGCTAGGCAACAGGGTTGCCTTGGAGACAGCTAGGCCCTGAGTCATCCTCAGCCCTGGCTACTCCATCCCCCCTGCTCCTGGTAGGTGGGGCCTGGGTCCCAGAAGGAGGGAAGGCAGAGAGAACAGAAACTAGAAGGCAGGAGACCCACCACCTGCATGTTGTCCGCCCATGGCCACTATGGCTACCCTAGGCTAAGGGGGTCTCATTCCGGCAGGCATCCATGCTGGCTATGGAGTGTTGAGGACAGTCAAACACATCTGAGGCCTGCTCACCCACAAGGGCCCCTTCCCAGGCATTCCTTGGGCCCCTGTCTTAGGTGGGGCCTGAGGGACACAGTGTCCATCTCATGGCTCCACAGCAGGGGCTACAGAGCCAGCCTAATCACTATCAGACATGAGGCTCTCACCACCTGTACTGTGCTAGGACCTTCAAGGCACCCCCTGGGCCCCCAGACCCATTTCCCAGGAGGGAAAGTACTTGCCTGAGACCCCCCTCAGAGAGGGAGTATTTGGGTGTAGGCAGACGGCTCCAGGGCACACATACCACTCCAGAGCCCCCCAAGGAAAGGCTTGATGACCTCCTGTGGGGAGCCTAAGGGTGTTTCAGAGCCACTGCCCCAGGCCTCAAGAGCCACGAGGAATGAGCCCTTATACGCATCCCTATTTCCTGATGTGACAGTGGCTTCCTCTCTCTTAGCCCCAAGGTCTTAGGGCAGGATGTGCCACCAGCCTCTGGTCCTCAATCCCCCTGACTCCAGAGCTGGAATCTCTAGCAGCCTGGACTGGGGTGATTCTTTTGTGTCCAGGCATTAAGACAAGGGAGAAGTGCTCCAGGTGAAGTGATGCTCCAGGTTAGGGGTGCACCAAGTAAGGTGAGGCTCCATGTAAGGGCTACAACAGGTAAACTGATACTCCAGGTGAGGGACACTCCATGTGAGATATTCTCCAGGTGAGTTGATGCTCTAGGTAAGGGACTTGGTACCCTCCTGGCCCTGGAGGAAGGCCAGTGCAGTAGAAGCTCCAAGAATAAGTGGCAAGTTGGTGGGCTGGCAGTTTTGGAGTCTCGGGGCTTCGTAGGCTGTAGAACAGAGCCCTGGGAGGACGGGGACCACGTCTGCACTATAAAGTGATCCCTCTGCACCACGGAGAGAACAGGTGGAGAGCAGCAGGACTGGACCACTGAGGAGGTAGCTGCCATCAGCCATGGAGGAGAGAGACACATGGCACAGGGAGGGGTGACAGAGGTTGGAGACACAAGCCGTCCACAGATGTTCAGGAGGCAGGCTTTCCACAGCAGTATTTCATATCCGTCTAAGTAACTGCTCTTCACTCTTCCAAGGCAGGTAGACTTCTCAGGCCCCTTTGAGGGCACAGCTTGCTCTACCTGAGGCCCTGACATCTGCTGAAGGGCAAGAGACCCCACCACACACACATTCACACACACACACACACACACGCATGAGATGAAATCCTGCCTGCCAGTAAGGACAACACCCACATCAGGGTCCATGCCAGCCTGCACCTGTGCACATAGGAGGGCGGCTGTGGAAGGCCAGCCTGCCAGACTCGAATGCTGGAGGTGACTGGATAGGTTGGACAAATCTTCTTCAGTCACTCAAAATGTCTTCACACATCCCATTCTGCCTGCCCACGCCAAGCCTTCTCCTTTGATTCATGTCAGCACAGGGGCAAGACTGATTCTTCCGTTCCTGCCACACCAAAAAGCTGCCTTCACTCAAGCCAGTGTCCCACACACAGCAAGAACAGCACTCACCCCCAAGTCAGTCAGGGTCCAGCCAGCCTGGCTCCCCTTCCTGCTGCCCCCATCTTCACTGGGTCCTGCTTCCAGTCATAATGCTACAAACATCAAATACCAGCTGCTTAATTTCTGTGAAGACAGTCTCAGGGAGCCTCCCTCCCAGCCCTGAGGCTCTTTCCCTGATGTAAAGACCCTACTCTGCTCTCCCCACACGTAATCCCCCTGCTATCTCTGCTCACAAGAGACCTCAGGATGGATACTATTCCTTGGTCCTCCTCTCTGAGCCTGCTGGGAGGTCTGGCATCTCCACTGGCCCAGACTCCACACCTACCTGCCACATCCCACCTCCTCCACCCTCTCTCACAGCCTGGTCCCTACAATGCAGCCACCACCCCAGCCTCCAGTCTACTCCAGAGGGAACTTCTCAGGCTCTTTAAGGCCTTAGGACCTTTTTACACAGGTTCCCGGACCACTGCACCATCTCATCCTTGGGGTCTCAGCTCAAGACTCATGTTCTCAGGAACCCTACCACCACCACCCTGGAAGGGTCACCATCACGTAGTACTACTCTTCAACTTTCATTGCATTCTAAATAGTCACTCTCTGAAATGATCTGTTGGTCACTTGTTCCTCAGCTCTGCGGGGGGCGATTCCCACTGAGGGGGTTCCTGGGCCTGACACCCAGCAGGTGCGCAGATGTAAGAGCCTTGAAGGGGACTGACTGGCCAACTGCTCTGCAGAAAGGTGAGGGAAGGGTGAGGGTCGGACTGTCCTTGGCAGCCAAGGGTTAGGACGCAAGGGGCACTGGGCCAGCCCCGAGCCCCATAAGACCGACCTCGCACCCCTGGGCCAACCGCCAGTGCCAAAGGGCTCGAGTCTTCTTTGCATTGCAGGATTCGGGGTCCCACCGCTTCGAGCAGGAAGGGCTAGCTCCAGGACCGCTCTCCAGCCTCGTGCCCTGCCCTCCCTCCCCTCCCTCCCTCTCTTGCCCTCCTTGTGCCCTTCCCTCCCTTCCCGCGCAGCCGCACGCCTGGGTTTGTTATTGTGAGGGCTCCGGCGGCCAAGGTGGGGGCAGGGTGCAAGCCGGAACTGGCGCGTGCCCGCGGGCGCCATCACATCACGGGAGCGCGCTGTGCGCGCAGCGGGGCGGGGCGGGGCTTGGCATCCTCGGCTCCTGCCGGCTCCCCAACCCCCATTGGCTCCCGGCACCAGGAGCGAGCGAGGGCGCGGCGTGCAGGGCCAGGCTGGCTGGGGGCCGCGCGCGGAGGAGCGTAGGGAGGAGGGGGGAGGAGGGGCGAGGGGAGGAGGGCGAGGGGAGGGAGAAGGCACCCGCCTGGCTCCCTGCAAAGCGGCCTTATTTATCTGGGCACAGCCTCAGCCTCCCCGGTGGGAGGCTTGAGGCGGCCGATCCTCTCCCACCGGGGAGCTCCTCTCGAGTGCGGCCGAGGTGGCCAGCCAGGCCAGGGCACCGGGCTCGGAGTGCGGCCGGGCCCTGCTGGCCAGGCCAGCACCTCCGCCGCCTTCCCACTTCGCCGGCGCTTATGCCGGGCTCCCCATGACAGGAGGAAGCCCGGCGAACAGCGGGGCATGAACCAGGAGCCTGGGCCGAGGTAAGGTGTGTGCTCCCTCCCAGATAGGCTCCTGGGGGGGGGGGGGGGGCAGGCTACGCAACAGAGACGATCACAATGAGAAGACAGGGAGGGGGCTTGAGACTGTTTCTGCCATCCCTGAGGGCTTATGTAACCGCAGCCCCTTCCCTGGCCGGGGGCCGCTGGGCGTCGGGCTCTGCCAGGCCTTCCCACAGCGCCTTACCCCAATGGCCTGGTGGAGGCCCACTCCCCATGGCAACTGGACCAAGACTGTGGGTGGGTGCCACCTGATGGTGTCCTCGTGGAAGCGGAATTGCAGGCCCCCAACTCTCCCGACTGGGTGAGGTCCAGGACCACCAAGGAGCACTATGTTCTTGGCCTCAGCACTATGAGCTCCTTGGCCTATGAGAGAGGTGTTAGACTCCAGGTGGAGCCGTGTGGATGCATAGCCTGAGGGCCTGTCTGTCCCTAGACACCTTCTGGCCCCAGACCTGTAAGGAGCTGCCATAGGGGGAGAAGGAGGGGACTGGGCACATGCCTGATTTTGGAGGAGGGGTCAGGCCTTGGCCAAAGCTGGAGGGCCTCAGAAGGGGAATTGGATACCCTGAGACTTGCTGGGGAGGGGTCCTGTACTCCTGGAGTTTAAGTGGGTGGGGAGAATCCAACACCAATCACCCCAGAAGGAGAGAAGTCCTGGGTATTGGAGCTTCAGGGAGCCCATGGCCCAGTGGCCACTCCTCTAGCCCCTCCCTTCCTCTTCACTGGAAGTCTTCCCTCCATGGAGAGAGCAGATGGTGGATGCCACCTCACCTGCCCCCTCCATCGGGTCCCTCCCCACACCCGCCACCTCCAGGGCCCCAGTGACCAAAGTCAGCTCAGGCCTCCCTAGTACCAGGTGGGCACAGGACCCCTTCTTCCACCAGACTCCTTTGAAGGCTGCTGGACAGCAGCCTGGGTGCAGAAGGCTTGCTCTGGGTTGGGCCCCTAAAATGTTTGGGGTCCCACAGGCCAAGGCAGAAGCCTGATGGAGACCCATTGGTTCAGCGGGTGGCCACAGGTCTGGAACAGAGTTGTCTGAAGAGGAGAAAAAGTCATGCCCCACTCGTAAACATGGGCAGTGTAGACTGGGCTGTTCAGGCCCAGAGGACCCCAGGACTCAGCTGCCCCAGTGCCTGCCATCTCCACTCTCTGGCTCCCCTCACCTCAACCACCTTTCACCTTGGGCCAGGCTCATGAGCCCCTCTAATGCTAGGGAGGGTCATGGGACATTTGCCACCCTCTGGCTCACACACACTTCCCGGGCACTTGAGTGAGTCCTATCCCCTACTGATGAAAACAAGTGAACCCAAGGTTGGGGGACCTAGAGCCCTCCAGAACGGGGCCCAGGCCCAGGAAGGCCTGCCATGCTGAAAGCCAGGGAGACATCTCAGAGGGGAAGAAGCTTCTTGGTTGGCCTGCTTTGCTGCTCCAACCCCCATTTTGTGACATGTGTCTCAGAGGCTGGCATGGGGGAAGAGTGGAGGTGGCAGTGAAGGAAGTTCTGTGGGGTCAGCAGGTGGCTCAGAACCTTCCCCACCCTGGGGGGCTTCAACCAGAATAGCCACAGAGGGTGGGCTTGGGCCATCTTTCCCCACTTGGCAGGAAAGATGTGGAGGGATCAAAGCATCTGCTCAAAGCATCAGGCACTAAACACCCCAGGCCTGGGCCCTGGGAGGCTCAGGTCTTTCAGAGTAGAGGGGCTGAGATGACACCTGGAACCCAATGTCCTCTCCCCAAAGCACCCTGTCTCACATGGCTGAGCTGCCTTGAGCTTGGCCAAAAGGTTGCTGGAGGATGAACTCCATCCAGTCTGTCTTGAGGCCACGTGCTCCCTTCTCAGAGCCCCTGGCGCATGGGTGGGGCAGCCTGCACCCCAGAAGCATCTCCAAGCTGGGGGCGGGAGGGGAGCGCTGCTGCTAGGACATGTGCAAAGTGGCAGGGATGTGAATGCCTGAGTCACGGGGTTTGTCATGGAATGTGTCAGCCCACACCACACCCCCAATCCCAAGCTGCCCTGGTTGTCACCCAGCCCCTGGGGTTGCCACCACAGATGGATCTATATGAGTTTTTCTGGCTACCTATGCCTTGACCAGCTTTGTGGCCCTCAGCAGGCAGGGGCAACTAGTCAATGCAGGTTTTACTGGGGCTTAGGCCCCCCAGTATCCAGGGCAGGCTGCGTCAGTTGGGAGCATCAGAGATGGAGGAAGAGTCCTCCAAGGAGGGGGTCATGCAGGGTGGAGAGTTTCTTGGGAATGAACAGTCCAAAGAAGTGTCCCAGTGGTGGAATGCAACTTCCAGCCTGTGGAAGGACAGCAGGGGTGTAACAGGGACAATGGTAGGAGAGATCACCACACCACGTTTCAAGCTGGGAGGACACAGGTATAAAAGAAGCATAACAGGGCAGAGAAAGGAGGTCTCAGGAGGTGTACCTGGCTAGTGACAGGCCAGCTGGGGACCCTGGGTTGCCCTCTGGACCACTGTGCCTGGCCTGGGCTTTGGGAATCAGACAAATGTGGACCTTGGGGTCAAATCCCAGCTTTGTGAAATTTCTAAAAATTTATTTTCTGAGCCCTGCTTTCCCCACTATGGTTAGGCAGTGTGTGAAGGGCTCAGACCAGTGGTGCTAGAAAAAGCAGGACCACTAGCTTCCCTCCCTCCTGATGGTGCCTGTCCCCTTCTCTTTGGGTCTGGCTGGATTATGGGGGACAGGCAGCCAGCTTCCTTAACCCTGCAGCTCCCAAGGGGAGTCTCAGTCTAAAAGGAGACATGAGTTGTCCTTTTCCCAGGGGTCTGAATAACTGCAAGGCCCACCCCAAGCCACAGGGTCTTGGGGGCCTTCTCAGAAACTCTGGCACCAACCCAACCCTAGTGGCCTCCCTCCCCTGTGGACACTGGCGTCTGTCACAACCAGGATTAATGAATTGAGCTGCAGCTTCCCCACTGACTGCCTCCTCTTAATCTAACCTGTCTTTCATCAAGCCTCATGAGTCTCAGGCAGCCACACTCCTTTTGCATGACCCTGCTAACTGGACTGCAATTCCTCATTCATTCACTTAGTCACTCATTCAGCAGGCACCGAGAGGCCCCTAAGCCAGCTGTCCTCAAGGAGTTAGCCCCCAGCCAAGGGGAGAAGCCAAAAGGTAGACAGGGATGATAACCCAGCTGATGACTGAGACCTGGAGAGGGGCAGTGCTTACATCAAAGAATAGAGGAAAAGGAGCTTGTAGGCTTAACGGGCACAGAGCCTAATGAGCAAGCAGGGGTACCAACATATACCCAATTAGAGATGGGGAGGGGAGGAGGAATGCAGGGCAGGAGGCAGGGCTGGGGAGGAAAGGCTGCAAAATAGACTTGCTGGGTCTCAGGGCCTAGTGATCACCTGCAAAAGAGTCAGCTCCTTATGAAGCCCCGGCATGGCTATCTGCAGACTGTTAGCCTGGAAGTCACCAAGTTCTAGAGTCCTCCCAGTAGTCCCCAGAACCCCACCATGCTCTCTAAGTCTACTCTAGCCATCAGGCTTCACCGTGAGTCAGCTGAGGAAACACAGAGGCTCTCCCAAGTGGCACCCTGATCCAGCTCTGACTCAGGCTGATGGGGACAAGACAACTAAAGTAGTGGTCACCATCTCCCTCCTTCCCCTTCCCCTGGGAAGAACCCAGGAGTCTCGAGCTCTGGGATATTCCCTGGAATTCTACTCCACACTGAGAAACAACCCACCAGGGCTGAGGCTAATAATAGTGCAAGTGTGGCCCTGGCCAGTGTTGCTCAGTCGTTAGAGCGTCGGCCTGTGCACCAAAGGGTCCTGGGTTTGATTCCTGGTCAAGGGCACATAGCTGGGTTGCAGGTTCAATCCCAGTCCTGGTCCAGGAGCACGCAGGAGGCAACTAATCAATGTGTCTCTCTCACATCGATTATTCTCTCTCCCCCCTCCCTTCTCTCTATAAATCAAAATGGAGAAATTACCCTCCAGCCCTGGCCGGTTTTGCTCAGTGGTTAGAGTATTGGCCTGCAGTCGAGAGAGACCCGGGTTCGGTTCCCGCTAAGAGCACATACCTCGGTTGCAGTTTGTCCCCGGCCCTGGTTGGGTCGTGTGGGTGGCAACCACTCGATGTGTCCCTTTTACGTCGATGTTTCTCTCTCTCTCTCTCCCTCCCACTCTGTCTGAACAAAAAATGGAAAAATGTCCTCGCGTGAGGATTAAAGAAAAAAAAATTACCCTCTAGTGAGGATTAAAAAAATGAGTGCAAGTTTGGCCATCTTTTTAAAAGCCCTCTTTTCTCAGCATTACCTCCTGGTATTTATCCCTAAATGGTGAGGCAGCCCCAGCAGACTGACAGCTGCCCCTACCCTCTCATGGCAGGAAACTTCAAGCAGGACCTCCAAGCCCACTGTGCACAGTCACAGGTGCCAAGAAAGTGGGGGTTCTGCAACCCATCTGGCTGGGTGGATGGGGCTAGGGCCAGGCAAAGGGGCCCTTGTCTTAGCCCCACAGGGACCTAACTGGCAGGAAGACCTATCTCTGACCATGACCTCACCTTTCTCCCAAAGCCCTGACCCCTAGGCCAAAGTGTGGTGGTTTTCAATTTTGAGCTATAGAGTGGGGGATTCTCAGGCTGGGTCAGTGAGGCTGAGTGTGAGGAGCAGCTGGAACCCAGCAGGACCATGGACAAAGTTGAGGAGCAAAAGGGCCACCTATGTAGGGAGGCAGCTCCAATCCAGAGCATGGAGGGTAGGGGGTTAGCAGTGCTGACTAACAGGCTGAGTAGTACCTTCTGGCCAGGGGTGGGGGTGTGGGATGAGGGGCAGCCAGGCCTTAGACACCACCACCACCCCAGACTGCTGAGGGTCATCCTGGGCCTGGCCACTCTTACCATGGGCTTTCACCCAGGGGCTAGTCTGTTTTCACCAGCTTGGCCCTGAAGCCCCAGGGGTGGGGATGGGACTGTGGGCGTGTGCAAATGTGAGCTTCAGTGGGGGACAGGAAGGGAGCCTCATAGTTGCCCAGGACATCCACGTGCATCCCCCAACTCAAGCACTCCACGTGCACAACCATGGCTGGGAGCATTTTCAACCTAAATCTGCTCGAGTTATTTCTCCCCTGGTGCCGCCTCTGCCGCCTCCTTGGAATCTTAGATGAACCGGGCGGCTTCTTCCTCTCAAACAACACCCCTCCACCCCCTCCAGAGCCCCTCCCTGCTAAGCTGGGTTTGCCTGATCCATCCCCCACACACCGCACCACCAGCCGCTGTCCGCGGTGGAGGCGGCTGAGCCTCGCCTTTGAGCACGCGCACAGCGGCTGCAGAGGCGCTGTCCGTGGTGCTGCGCTCCTAGGGCCGAGCCACGGAACTGGCCGCGCCTCGTCTGTGGGAAGCGGCCGAAGCCAGGTGGGCGGCGCGCCCTGAACAGTGAAATCATGGAGCCCCGCTTGGGGGACATAGAAGGTATTCAGGCTGGGGCTGCCTCTCTGCATCCAGCAGCTCAAAGGAGGGAGTTACTGGGATATCCTCTCCCCTGGACGCAAGAGTGGGAGCCAGTTGTGGGCTTCATCCTGTAATTCCAAGAGGCACCGCTGGTCACAGTGGCCTCCTCCTCCTGTACTGGCATTGAGGGCAGCCCTCATATTAGATCATCCCTGCCACTGTGGGCAAACTGTAACTCCTTGGAGCCTCAGGTTCCTAAATTTGACCCCGCTGTGAGGTTGAAATCCATGATTATCCTAGTGGGCAATTGGCAGATGTTATGGATGTCATGTATCAGCCTGTGTGAAGTTATGAGCTACAGTGAGGGGCCAGCCAAGGTGTGGGAGCCTCTTCTGGAGGGTCCACGGTGGACTTCCAGCCTAGGGACTCATGGCTGCTAGGTCAGAAAGGCCTTGGGGCCCAAAACTGGGTTGGCAGTCATGAGGGCCACATGTCCTGGATCTGTACAGCCTCTCCAGACATGAATGCTAGCAAGGGTTGTCCTGTCCAGGGCTTGGAAACAAAGGAGGGTGTGACACTGGAAAGAGTAAGGTAGGACTGCCCACTTACCTCCCTTTTTCCAGTGGCTCCTGTCCCCTTCCACTTGGGCAGACCATGGGGTTGCAAAGCAATTTCCTTGTCACTTTCCAAGTACTCATTGTAAGCCATGCACTATGCTTAGCCCTTTGCACATGCTGTCCAATGGCGGAAGTATTGTAAGCTCCCAGGTTTCTAAGTGAGGAAAGTGAGGCTCCTTGGAGAAGGGAAGGCCTTGCTCAGACCACACAGCCAAGGTGCGGCCTGTTTCGAGTCCAGGATGTGTGACTGTGTGGGTGAACACAGTACACAGCTTCCTCACTGGATGTCTGGTGCAGGGTGGACAGGATATCTGGAATGTGGAGCAGAAGGTAGCACTGTGAGAGTCTCTCTGCCTCTTCTCTCAAGGGCCATCTGTGGCCTGTGCCCTCTGCCACCCATTCACAGACTCAGAGGCCTAAGAAGGAGCCAGGGTGGTCTCAGCCCCACCCTGCGGGGAGCTCCCTTCACATAGCCTTCCATAGCCAGCTCTGGTCCAAGCCTCTGCCCCACCACTGACTATAACCTTGTGCAAGCAATCCACACTGCCTCAGCTTGGTTTCCTCATTTAGTCATTGGCTACAGTCACCACAGCATCATTCTCAATGAACTAGGCAGGGGATTAAAGAGACAGTATGTGACTAGGGCTCACTATGTTGGCATCACCGTAAGCTCTGGGAAGACACCTGCCCTTTCTTTGGGTAGATTCTGAGCCACACAATTTCCTGTAGCCACTGAAATTTTCAGGGGCTGGTGTGTGAATTTCAGAGTAGTGGAACTACTCCAGAGAGCCATGCCAGCACCCCACAGTGGAGGCGCCAGAGACTGCCCAAAATCCTCTCCCTCAGTTATGCAGCCCTATGCACTGGAGGCAGACTTGGCAGGCACTGATGGTGGGCATCAGAATAGCAAAGGTGAAGGGACCAGTCACAGGAGTGTCTTGTCTCTCCACCTCTGTTCTCTCATCTCTAAAATGGGAACCACTGTACCATACCTAGATATCAAAAGCTCTGTGGGTGGGTGCAGGTTGAGCTCAGTGCACATATTAGGTGCTCAGGGACCAGCCCTGTCCTGTTGCTGTTCTGTCAGGGAGGGAGGCTTGCACTTAGATCCTTTTTGTCAAGTGGTTCTAGGAGTGCCATGGGAGGAAATGCCCGGGAACAGGAAAGGGCCCAGCTCTGCCCTGCACTTCCAGAGAGATCATGGAACTCACTCCTTACTCTGGGCCCCTGTCTGCAGAGTGACGGAGGAAGATGTCCAGCCCCGGAGTCGACGGCGACCCCAAGCCCCCATGCTTGCCTCGAAATGGCCTGGTGAAGTTGCCAGGCCAGCCCAACGGCCTGGGTGCAGCCAGTATCACCAAGGGCACACCTGCAGCCAGGAATCGCCCCTGCCAACCACTGCCCCCACCCACTCTCCCACCACCCAGCCTGGCTGCCCCGCTGCCTCGGGCTGCCCTGGCTGGGGGCCTATGCCCCCCAGCAGGGATTCCCCTTGGTGGACCAGCCTCAGCCCCGGCACCTGGGCCCCCAGTGGAGCGGCCACCACTGGCCACAGATGAAAAGATCCTCAATGGCCTCTTCTGGTACTTCTCGGCCTGTGAGAAGTGTGTGCTGGCCCAGGTGTGCAAGGCCTGGCGACGTGTGCTCTACCAGCCAAAGTTCTGGGCAGGCCTCACACCCGTGCTGCATGCCAAGGAGCTCTACAATGTGCTGCCTGGTGGTGAGAAGGAGTTCGTGAACCTGCAGGGCTTTGCTGCGCGTGGCTTTGAAGGCTTCTGCCTAGTAGGAGTCTCAGACCTGGATATCTGTGAGTTCATCGACAACTATGCCCTGTCCAAGAAGGGTGTCAAGGCCATGAGCCTCAAGCGCTCCACCATCACTGATGCTGGCCTGGAGGTGTGTCCTGCTGCTGGCTCACTGGCTTAGAAGGGACAGGGAGGGGGGCGGGCCAGGCACTGGAGCAGGTGTGAAGGTGAGGGGAGGTGGGGGTGGGCCCAGAAGCTCAGACACAAGTAGCAATGGGATAGGGAAAAGCAGGACTAATTACACAATTTGAGCAACCCAGTCCAAAATGAAAATGCAGGTACCTTGTTCAAAGATGATTAAGAATTTCAAGACAATAGAAAAGCATTAAGTGTGAGGCCCTTCTGAGCACTGGCCCTGTGAGTAGGGAGGGTTCTGGAGGTAATGGGGGAAGTAGAGCAAAGGGCAGAAGTGCAGATGGCCCCTTCCCCGGGACCTGAACTCTAGTCATCAAATCATTAACACCAATTGCTCTGAGCACCTGCTCTAGCCAGGGCCTGGGCTTCCAGTTCTCCTGTGCCCCGCCTCCTCTTTTAGTGTTGTTGAGGTGTAACAGATACACTATAAAGTGCACTTGTCCAAGAGTACAGCACCATGTATGTTTACACGAAGGGTTTCTTCTACCCTATCTCCTACTCTCCTCACCATGCCCTGTGGGGAGGGGCACACCTGGGGAACCCAGGTGAGTTTGAAGGTCATACCTCCTGACCCGGAACCTGCTGGCCCACAGGTGATGCTGGAGCAGATGCAGGGTGTGGTGCGCCTTGAGCTGTCAGGCTGCAACGACTTCACTGAGGCGGGGCTGTGGTCCAGCCTGAGTGCGCGCATCACCTCACTGAGTGTGAGTGACTGCATCAACGTGGCGGATGACGCCATCGCAGCCATTTCACAGCTGCTGCCCAACCTGGCTGAGCTGAGCTTGCAGGCCTACCATGTGACGGACACTGCACTGGCCTACTTCACAGCGCGCCAGGGCCACAGCACCCACACCCTGCGCCTGCTCTCCTGCTGGGAGATCACTAACCATGGTGTGGTCAATGTGGTGCACAGCCTGCCCAACCTCACTGCACTCAGCCTCTCCGGCTGCTCTAAGGTCACTGATGATGGTGTAGAGCTTGTGGCTGAGAACCTGCGCAAGCTGCGCAGCCTTGACCTCTCATGGTGCCCACGCATCACTGACATGGCGCTTGAGTACGTGGCCTGCGACCTGCACCGCCTGGAGGAGTTGGTGCTGGACAGGTGTGTGCATCCCCCACCCCCAGGGCCGTGGAGGGAGGAGTCCTACAAAACCCTCTGAGCTGGTTAAGCAGGCAGCCTAGATTAGTGAATAGGTCTGTAAATAGAGTGGGGCTGTAGTGAGGGTGGGGAGCAGGTTAAGGGGCAGGGCCCTCAAAACGCAAACTTTGTGTGGGTTAGGTGGGGCTACAGAAAGGAAGGAGCTATGAATGGGGCATGGGGAAGTTCACACCAGGGGACCCCAGGAAAAGAAGTAGGGATCCAGAGCTGAGGGGCAAGGAGAGGTGTTTTGAAGGTGGGCAGTCCCGCTCTGTTGCAACCACAGGTGTGTACGCATCACGGACACTGGCCTCAGCTATTTATCCACCATGTCGTCCCTCCGCAGCCTCTACCTGCGATGGTGCTGCCAGGTACCGGCCCTCCACGCCTCCGGAGATTGGGAAGTAGGCAGGGGAGGTGGGAGGCGCGGGGAATGCCCCCCCCAGACAGTCCTCTGATCTGCTCCCGGCCCACTCAGATCCTGTAAGGAAGTCTGGGATCCCTCCACACCCAGCGGCCGACGTAAGCGGAGCGTGCGGAGTCCCCAGGGCCCTCAACGGCATTCCCCAGCTGCCTCCTGGCTCCATGAGGAGCTGAGGAACCCCCGTTTTGAACCCCGCTCCCTGCCCCTCCAGCAGCTCCAGGCCAGCGGCCTGACCCCAGGAGTGGGGCTCCTACAGGGCGCGAGCGGAAATAGTTAACTCGCTCCGCCCTCCCGCCCAGGTGCAGGACTTCGGGCTGAAGCACCTTCTGGCCATGAGGAGTTTGCGTCTCCTGTCTCTGGCAGGTGAGACTACCCCCGGCCGTAGTTTAAACCACCCCCAACACACACACACACACACTTAACCCGACTCCCCCAAACCTGTGGGCTCCCTTGTGCGGATTCGTATCTGGAACTGACTCGCTGTGACTCAGGTCCAGGTCAGAAGAGAGAGTTGCCTGGCAGGCTCTAGCCCCGCCCACACAAGGCTGGCCCCGCCTTCCACGAACCTCCACCCCTCCCCTGGCCCCGCCCACTCAGACACAACTGGTCTTCCGCAGGATGCCCACTGCTGACCACCACCGGGTTGTCGGGCCTGGTGCAGCTGCAGGAGCTGGAGGAACTGGAGCTGACTAACTGCCCCGGGGCCACCCCCGAACTCTTCAAGTACTTCTCGCAGCACCTGCCCCGCTGCCTCGTAATCGAGTAGCGCGGGGTCTCCTCGTCCCCCGTCGCAGGAACCCTCCAGGCTCTGGGCGGGGACGCGAGGGCGCCATTCAGCCCCCTCTCCCCGCACCTCCTTGTCCCGCGCGGGAGGTAGAGTGAACCGAGGGAAAGCCCTAACCCACGCCCTCTCCGCTCCTCTCCTGGCCCCGCCCAGGCAGGGAGTCGGGGGCGACGGGCGGTGCCCGCCCCACGCACGCACGCACACTCGGGGATTTGTGCATGCCCCTCGTGCCCGCCCTGCACGCCCGCCCTCCGCCTCGCCGCAAGCCACCTCCCATCATTCGCACGCCCGCTGGGGGTGGGGGGCCCGGGCCTGGTCCTGCGGGGGCACTCTAAGCTCCTCAGGACGGCCGTCCTTACAGCCTTCCCCGCCACACCCCACTCTGTCTCCCGGCTGTCCCCCGTCTCGGGCAGGGCCCAGGGGGATTGAGGGGGGCTAGGTCTCCCAGGACACAGGGGTCCGGAAGAGCCCCATGTGCTGCCTGCATCTTCCACCGCACTGCCCCTGGAGCCCTCCCAGGCACAGGAGAGGAAATAGGCCGCCGCCAAAGCCATGGCCCACCAAGGAGCCCAAGTCCCACCCGCCCTCCCCCCACCTCACGCCAGCCTGACCCAAGCCACCTTCCCTCTTGGCACTGTGTGAGACAGTCCCCTGCTTGCCCCATCCCTACCCGCAGGCCTACAAGTTCTTGGGCACTGGCCAGACTGAGGCTGAATTAGGTTGAGGCAGAATGGGTGACAATGACCTTGGCACAATCAACATTAGCCCAGCAGGCTCCTGTCCATCTTAACCCAGAGGTGGTACAGCCACCTGGAGAGACCCCCAAGCTGGAGCGACCCTCAGGGCCTTCAGGCCTTGGGAGCAGTCCTGGGTGGACCCCACACTGCAGCCCCTGTAGCCAGCTGGGCCCTGGCCCCTCCATGCCACACTTCACCCTGGGCAGGTCTCTGTCAGGTAGAAGCTGGAAAAGTGGGCCCCAGCCAAGGCTCAGGATCAGCAGCAGCAGCCAGCAACTCTGATCTTCCAGTGGCCAGCACTCAGTACCCAGAGAGGGCTCCTTTCAAACCACACACCACCCCTCCCCAGCTCCCAAACTTGTGCTTGCCCTAATGGGCTCTGACCATGTTGTCAGATCCCACGATTTGGAAGTCCTAGGGGATGCTGGCACATCTTGGCAATTGCTGAGGTGGGGGCTGGGACCCCTTTCCATCCCAACCTTGAACCCCAGGACATACAGCACCCACACCTAATCTTGGGACATCCCCGCCCCCATCTGGTTGGAAGAGAGTAACCAGTTTTGAGAAAGAGGGAACAAGAGATGCTATTGAAGCAGAGAAACAATTCAACAGCCCAAAGACCTCTGCCCCTGGAGTACCCGCAGGGGGTTCCTGGGCTGAAGTGGTCAGGAGCCAGTTTCTTCAGTCCTTCCCACAGCTCCTTAGTGGGAGGTGGCAGCTGTCCATTTGTATAAAGTATTAATGCAACTGAAGCTGTGATATTTCCAACAACTGTAGGAGGAAAAATTAAGGGGAGAGAGGAAAACAAAACCAACCAACCCCTAAAATCATTTTCTTATTGTACATAATGACCTCATTCTCCTGTATATGCGGAAGATATAACCTTATATTTGGTAAGTGTTTCTTGTGCTATTTTATCACGTGACCTGTTTATAAAAATATATATTAAAAAGTTGTAAAAACGTGTTTTTAGATCAGCAGACAATGGTGGGGAAATATATCTGCCCCGAGGGGCCTAAGTCTCTGGATTCTTGTGCACCTCTCAATGTATCAAACTTGGTTCTTTCAACAAATACAGGGGCTGAGTGCCATGGTGCCAGACTTAAAACAGTACTGACCAACAGAAGGTCCCTAAGCTCTCTTTGCTTCAGGGAGAACAGACAGGCACTAAAGTCATTACACCTAAGATTCCCTCTAAAATACCTAGGACCTAGCCCATCCTTTTAGAGTAGCGGTTCTCAACCTGTGGGTCGCTACCCCTTTGGGGATCAAATGACCCTTTCACAGGGGTCGCCTAAAACATAAGTGTAGCAAAATTACAGTTATGAAGTAGCAACAAAAATAATTTTATGGCTGGGGGTCACCACAACATGAGGAACTATATTAAAGGGTCGCGGCATTAGGAAGGTTGAGAACCACTGTTTTAGAAGGTCAAAAATGAGCCGTTTCATGCACAGGGCAAATGAGGTTAAGAGGGGCAGGATGTCCTAAAAGATCACACAGTGCAGCAAGGACAGACCAGAATTCACACACAGGAGAGAAAGAGAGGGTCACTTCAACAGGGTTGTGTGAACAGGCGGTCAGGCACTGGTGTTTGTGGAGACCAAAGTCAGACGTGATCCCTGTCTGGTGCTCACATTCACGTGCGACAATAACCAGTAAACAAAGGAACGAGTTGTGACAAGTGGAGATGACAGTGATTGGAGAGGCCACGTTAGATGAGGTGCCAGAGAAGGCCTCTGACAACGGGTCACCTCAAGGGCCGGAAGAAGGCGCGTTCTAAAGAGCCTAGCACCGGTAGCCGCGAGGCAGGAAAGAGCTTGGCGGGCTGGAATAAAGAATGGAAGCCGCTGTGGCTGGAGGTACGCCGGGAGAGGAAGAGGCCAGGGTTTGGGGATTTATTCACGACGTGGTGGGGAGCTGTGAGGCGCCTTAGTCCGAATAGTGGCTATGCGAAGTTCAGATCACGGGGAACAGGGGCCCCGGAAAGCCTTTAGGAAAACCTGCTCCTGAGATTCAGGGGAGATGAGGAAGGAGTTGGAGACAACTGGGGGAATTCGGGACTCGTTTAGGAATGATGAATGGACTTGCTGAATTCGGGGGAAAGATGAGTACGGGCGAAACCGGGGGAGCCCCTCTACCTCAATCCTAAACCAAACCTCCGCCTCCACCGGCGCTCGATCCGGAACTTTTGTGATGTGGGAGCCCGCTTCCGGCCAGGAGCTGACAAGAAGAGGAGCACTTCCGACGAGGGGCGGGAAAGAAACCGGCTATTTCCTGTGCGTTGCTTCCGGCCCAGCCGGGCAGTTTTACTAAATGGTTCGGCTAGTTGCGGAGGAATAGGCTTCTTCAGTTCCTCTGGCTCTGTTCCCGCTGCCTCCGCTCCTCCACGCCACCACAACCTCCGAGCCAGCGGCCTCTCCTGCCTTCCGTCTCGCCAGACCCCTTCGGCTCTTTAAACAGCTCGGTCTTGAGGTTCTTCTGGGTCCCCGGCACCTGTCCTTCCGGCCCCCTCTAGCCCTTCTGCTCTGGCCCCGGAGACCCCGGAGCCGAGTGTTTGGATGGTGGTAACCACCTCTTATCTGTCGGGACTGACTCACTGAAGGTCCATTGACCGCCTAGATCTGACTGTTGAGGAGATGGAAAAGTGGCCTGGGCCAGGACTGACCAGGTAGGGTCTTTCCCACAAGTCAGACATGGGACTCACCAGCTTTAGGGCAGCTATAGCACCTTCTGACCGCCCAGCCAGGGTGATGGAACTTGCCCATCACACTGACTAATGGTGTACTGCCCTGGACTGGCTCACCAAGACTGACCAGCCCAGATCTAAGCAGTTTTAGGGGATCTAAGTAGAGTGAAGGGTTTGAACTGACAGACTCCCCGCCCCTGGTCAGCCAACTTCCCTGACCTCCTGTCTCCACTACCTGTGTAGCCATGGAGAAGATGTCCCGCGTGACCACAGCCCTGGGTGGCAGTGCACTCACAGGTCATACTATGCATTGCCACCTGGATGCTCCAGCCAATGCCATCAGTGTGTGCCGTGATGCGGCCCAGGTGGTCGTGGCAGGTCGCAGCATCTTCAAGATCTATGCCATTGAGGAGGAGCAGTTTGTGGAGAAGCTGAACCTACGTGTGGGCCGCAAGCCTTCACTCAACCTGAGCTGTGCTGATGTTGTCTGGCACCAGATGGACGAGAACCTACTGGCCACAGCAGCCACCAACGGTGTGGTAGTCACGTGGAACCTTGGCCGGCCGTCCCGCAACAAGCAGGACCAGCTGTTCACGGAGCATAAGCGCACAGTGAACAAAGTCTGTTTCCATCCCTCTGAGGCCCACGTGCTGCTCAGTGGTTCCCAGGATGGCTTCATGAAGTGCTTCGACCTCCGCAGGAAGGACTCTGTCAGCACCTTCTCAGGTGAGGCCCTCAGAGGCGCGTTGGGCAGGTGTGGCCTGTCCAGGCAGGTTAAGGCTTGCTGCATGGAGCCCTGGCTAGATGGCTAAGTTGTTTGGAGCATTGTCCTGTACACAAAGGTTTCAAGTTTGATTCCCGACCAGGACACATACCTAGGTTGTGCGTTTGATCCCTAATAGGGGCATATACAAGAGGCAACCAGTTGGTGTTTCTCTCTCTTCCTTCCTCTTTCACTAAAATCAATAAAAACATATCCTCAGGTAAGGATTTAAAAAAAAGTAGTGCTGCCCTGGCCAATTTTTCTCAGTGGTTAGAGCACTGGCCTGCAGACCAGAATCCAGTGTTTGATTCTGGCCAAGGGCACGTACCTTGGTTGCGGTTAGTCCCCGGCCCTATTTGGGGTCATGTGGGTGGCAGCCAATCAATGTGTCTCTCTCACACCCATGTTTCTCTCTCTCCTTCCCACTCTGTCTGAAGATAAATGTAAAAATACCCTCAGGTGAGGGTTAAAAAAAAAAAAAGTAGTGCTGCATACAGTAAAGGCCTTCATATACCCTCCCAGAGGGCTTCCTAGGGGAGGGGCCAGCTTGCTGGAACTGAAAGAGTGGGTGGGCATCAGCAGGGGAGGGACTGGGGCAGGCCTGGTTGAAGTGTGAGGAGTAGCTGGAGTGGGGCTGCACCTCTGATGCTCCTGAAAGGCCCGCACGTGGCTAGGCTGGGTATGGGATGAGGAAGATGGCAGAGCCTGAGCAGGCCTACAGCCAACCTTGGTGGCTGAGCAGATGGTTGTTTCGCTGCCTCCTCTTCCCTTGCCTCAGAGCTCTAGGCTGCCTCATTGCAGTAAGCCCACTGGGACCTCCAGGGTCCTCAGCCTAGGGATGCACAGGAGGTGGAGGACAGTGTCTGGTCCCACAATGGTTCTTTTCCTAGCAGGCCCAACTCCTTGACAGTGGTCTTGATTTAGTTCTCCCTTGTCCACCTCAATGAAACCAAATGAAGCACAGGGTAGTGGCCTTGGAGAATTGAGGGTGGGGGTCTCTTAAGACAGACCTTGAGCTACCTGTGCTGGGGTAAAGCTAGACACTGCCCTCAAAGGCTCTTGCTGTGATAGTTTATGGTTTTGAGTGGACACTCAAAACCTCCAGTCCTCTGGAGTTGACCCAGAGCATCAACTCAAGGTTGGGCAGAGGCTGGGGTACCCTCATCTGTGCCTCCTTTCGGGGACCTTAGAACTCTTTGGGGAGTGTGGAGAGGCAGCCCAGTGAGGCTCCTGTTCACCCAGTGCTCTAATACCCAGTCCTGAAGCTGGGCCACAGCTTTGTACAAGGACTGACATTAGAAGAATCCAGGGAAAAGCGAGGTCCAGGACTTTGTATCAGAAACCACCTGATGCCTGGAATCTTGCTCCACAGCCCAGGCTGTTGTGTCTGTGAGGCCTGTCCTCTTCCCATCTCCTCTAGGCAGGACTTAGGTCCACAGCCACTCCACGGGCTCCCCTCTTGGCCACTCTCCCTTCTGGAGCCCCCTGTTGGCTGCCCCCCCCCCCACCGTCTCCCTCCATTGACGTCCTATCCACAGGCCAGTCTGAGAGTGTGCGGGATGTCCAGTTCAGCATCCGGGACTACTTCACCTTTGCCTCCACCTTTGAGAATGGCAATGTGCAGCTCTGGGACATTCGGCGGCCTGACCGTTGTGAGAGGATGTTTACAGCCCACAATGGGCCTGTATTCTGCTGTGACTGGCACCCCGAGGACAGGTATGGGGTGGACTAGGGGCAAGGGCAGCAGGGTGGAATAGAAGGCACTCATGGGAGGGCTCTCTCTCACTGCCTCAAGTCCTGTGAGTCAGAGAGGGAGGAACCCACCCCAGGAGAGGAAACTGAGGGCTTCATGGGCTTTCCATAGGGGCTGGCTGGCCACAGGTGGGCGTGACAAGATGGTGAAGGTCTGGGACATGACCACACAACGTGCCAAGGAGGTGCACTGTGTACAAACCATTGCCTCAGTGGCCAGAGTCAAGTGGAGGCCCGAGTGCCGCCATCACCTGGCTACGTGCTCCATGATGGTGGACCACAACATCTATGTGTGGGATGTGCGCAGACCCTTTGTACCAGCAGCCATGTTTGAGGAGCACCGCGATGTCACAACAGGCATTGCCTGGCGCCATCCACATGATCCCTCCTTCCTGCTCTCTGGCTCCAAGGACAGCACACTGTGCCAGCACCTGTTCCGTGATGCCAGCCAGCCTGTTGAACGTGCCAATCCCGAGGGCCTCTGCTATGGTCTCTTTGGGGACCTGGCCTTTGCCGCTAAGGAGAGCCTAGTGGCCACTGAGTCGGGGCGCAAGCCCTATGCTGGTGATCGGCGCCACCCCATCTTCTTCAAACGCAAGCTGGACCCTGCTGAGCCCTTTGCAGGGCTCGCCTCCAGTGCCCTCAGTGTCTTTGAGATGGAGCCTGGCAGTGGCAGCATGAGCTGGTTTGTGGATACCGCTGAGCGTTATGCCCTGGCTGGCCGGCCACTGGCCGAGCTCTGTGACCATAATTCAAAAGTGGCTCGGGAGCTTGGTCGAAACCAGGTAGGTGGGTTTGGGCTGAGGTGGGCCCAAAGACCATGACCTTGGGGCAAGGTCAGGGTACTGCTTCACCCAGACCCTGACCTGAGTTCAGTCCACCGACCTTCACCTGCCCCAAAACTGAGGGTGCTCAGAGCTCCAGAGCAGGGCAAATACCAGTGCTATCCTGGGGATACAGTTTTAGGGCATCATGGGGCTTAAGCCCCCTATTCTGGCTCATTCTTACTTTGGACTTCCTAAGGTACCTGGCCCTGTAATGTCCACACTGCATCTCTCATCATCTCCCTTGGACCCCAGGCTCATTTGCACATTGGCCATCTCCCGCACATGCTTCCTTCTGTGCCCTGCAGGATGGGGGCTGGGATCTTTCTCATGGGCCTCAGTTTCCCTACTTGAGGTGGGCCAGGACATTGGGTCCCTGGGCAGCTGAACAATGAGCTTGTGGTTCCATCCAGGCAAGGGGGGGGGGCCTACATGGGGCACCAGGGACCCAGGACCGTGTGAGTAACCGGTGCACACCCCTAGGTGGCGCAGACATGGACCATGCTACGGATCATCTACTGTAGCCCTGGCCTGGTGCCTACTACCAATCTCAACCACAGTGTGGGCAAGGGCAGCTCCTGTGGACTGCCACTCATGAACAGGTAGATCCCTGGAGGCAGCTTTCTCAGAGGGTGGGACTGCTAGAACCTACCCACCTATAAGCCCTCCCTGCCCCCAGTTTCAACCTGAAGGATATGGCCCAAGGACTGGGCAGTGAGACCCGGCTGGACCGCAGCAAGGGTGACACACGGAGTGACACGGCGCTCCTCGACTCCTCAGCCACACTCATCACCAATGAGGGTAGGCCAGAGGGCAGCACAGCACATTGTTGGGAGTGGGGCTGGGGCATCCCAGAGCGAGCCAGCATGGAAATCCCTCCTTCCCTCATGGGCAGATAATGAGGAGACTGAGGGCAGTGATGTGCCTGCTGACTACCTGCTGGGTGATGTAGAGGGCGAGGAAGATGATTTGTACCTGCTGGATCCAGATCATGCACACAGTGAGTGGGGGCTGGGAGGGGCACAGCTGGGAGGCAGGGCCAGAGGCTGACCTTGCCTTCTGGGCCCCTGCCTCACAGCTGAGGAGCCCGAGTACGTGCTGCCCCAGGAGGCCTTCCCGCTGCGCCATGAGATTGTGGACACACCACCAGGCCCTGAGAACCTACAGGACAAAGCTGACTCGCCCCATGTGAGTGGGAGCGAGGCAGATGTGGCCTCCCTGGTGCCCATTGACTCCTCCTTCTCGCTCATCTCTGTCTCACACGCACTCTACGACAGCCGCCTGCCACCTGACTTCTTCAGCGCCCTGGTGTGCGACATGCTACGTTTTTATGCTGAGCAGGGTGATGTGCAGATGGCTGTATCTGTACTTATCGTGCTGGGTGAACGTGTGCGCAAGGACATTGACGAGCAGACCCAGGTTGGTGAGCAGGCTGGGGTGGGGGTGGGGGTGGGGGTGGGGGTGTGCTCCCTGCACAACCACCTGCACTTGCACCCAGCATGCTGGGGTGAAACCCCTCAGTTTGCCCATGACCCTAGCCTCCTGCCTCCCCTCCCTGTACCGCCAGGAGCACTGGTACACATCCTACATCGACCTGCTGCAGCGCTTCTGCCTCTGGAACGTGTCCAACCAGGTGGTCAAACTCAGTACCAGCCGTGCTATTAGCTGCCTCAACCAGGCCTCCACCACCCTGCATGTCAACTGCAGCCATTGCAAACGGCCCATGAGCAGCCGTGGCTGGGTCTGTGACAGGTGCCACCGCTGTGCCAGCATGTGTGCGGTCTGCCATCACGTGGTCAAGGGTTTGTTCGTGTGGTGCCAGGGCTGCAGTCACGGGGGCCACCTGCAGCACATCATGAAATGGCTGGAGGGCAGCTCCCACTGTCCTGCTGGCTGTGGCCACCTGTGCGAGTACTCCTGATTCGGTCTCGGGAGGGAGGAGGCTGAAGCTTGTGAACCAAATAAAAGAAACAGAGCCACAGTCTGAGGCTGCCCTGTCCTCTCCTTGGGCGACTCTGGTGGGCGGGTGGCAGCGTCTCCATGGGAACTGACAAGTCACTAGCAGCTCTGTCTTCGCTCAGTTTTGTGGGAATTCCGCCCCTTCTGGGGCGGGCCAAAAGAGGCCGCTTCCGGAGGCTGTCCCAACGCCGCGGCTGTTACCACCACGACGGAGCTCCCATCATGCCTCGCGGCGGCGGGCTCATGGCGCCCAGGGTGCATCCTCTCTTGCTGCTCTTACTCTGTACGCTGGCGGCTCCCGCCTGGCCGGGCTCCGGATCAGAGGGCGACGGAGGGTGGTGAGTGGCACCAGGTGACGGGAGGGGGTGCGCTACGGGGCAGCCCGGGTCGCTGACCGGCTCTGCCCACAGGCAGCGGCGCGGCCCTGGGGTGCCAGCGGCGGTGGCGGAAGAGGAGCGCTGCACCGTGGAGCGCCGGGCCGGCCTCAGCTACGCGGAGTTCGTTCAGCAGTATGTGCGCTCTCCCGCACTGCCACACCTCCCACGCCTGAAAACCTGTCCAGGAGTTCCGTCACCCTGGGTGGAGGCTGTCACGCCCTTGTCTGCCTGCAGCACAGGGACCTCCCGAGGCCGCCTCCCCTTTACCTCCGTGAACAAATGAATTGGGGCGGGAGCAGGGATGGGTCAGACCCCAACCAACCATGACTCTGCCCTTCCTTCCAGCTACGCCTTCTCCAGACCCGTCATTCTGCAGGGGCTCACAGACAACTCAGTGAGTGCAGCTTCCCCTCCTGGCCATCTCGCCAGTATGGGGCCAAGGCCCTTAAGTCCTCTCTTCCCACCCCCGCAGAGGTTCCGGGCTCTGTGTTCCCGGGAAAGGCTGCTGGCATCATTTGGAGACAGTGTGGTTCGTTTAAGCACTGCCAACACCTACTCCTACCAGAAAGGTGAGCTGCTCCACCTCACAGCCCAGCCTGCTTGCCAGCATCCTGGAGGCATTAACTAGTCCTGACCGGCCCTTTTCCTGCAGTGGACCTAGTCTTCCAGGAGTATGTGGAGCAGCTGCTGCACCCCCAGGACCCCACCTCTCTGGGCAATGGTGAGCACTTGGGCTGACAGTAGTGGGTTGGGGAGGTGGCACTTCAGAATGCCCAGGTACCAGGATCCCTGCACCATCCTGTGTCCTTTGCTGGCAGACACCCTGTACTTCTTTGGGGACAACAACTTCACTGAATGGGCATCACTCTTTCGGCATTACACCTCACCCCCATTTGGTCTGCTGGGTACCACTCCTGCTTACAGCTTTGGGATCGCAGGTGGGTGCCTTACAGGACCAGGGAATTTGGGGGAATGGGGAGTGCAAATTGGGTTTGGTCACCAGCTGCTCATAACTGACCCCACAGGAACTGGCTCCGGGGTGCCCTTCCATTGGCACGGGCCTGGGTTCTCAGAAGTGATCTACGGACGCAAGGTCAGCACAGAGTCATGACTGAGACTTGTGGCTCACTGACAACACAAAGAGTAACCTTGTTGTTCCCACCCTCAGCGCTGGTTCCTGTATCCCCCTGAGAAGACACCTGAGTTCCACCCCAATAAGACCACTCTGGCCTGGCTCCAGGACACCTACCCAGCCCTGACACCATCTGCACGGCCCTTGGAATGCACCATCCAGGCTGGTGAGGTCAGTGGCTGGTTGGAGGGGGTCAGGCTGGGCTGGACAGAGGCCCCCACTAATCTCTGTGCCCCATCCAATCCAGGTTCTATATTTCCCTGACCGATGGTGGCATGCCACACTCAACCTCGACACCAGTGTTTTCATCTCTACCTTCCTCAACTAGCCAGAGCGGGCAACTGGCGAGCCCAGTCGCACACCAGCACACATCCCTATACTGCTCACAGGTTTTATTACAAGGTCAGTGGTGGCAGCAGCAATCTCAGCCCAAAACCACCCTAGCCTGTTGTTTCCGGCCCAGAAGGGAAATGGGGATGTGAAGGATGGGGGGGGGGGTCTCATGGCCTACCAGTAGAACTGATGGAAGATGGGATGGGGACAGCAGAGCAGAGATCCAGGGACACAAACTATGTACAAGGGCTATGGGCTACTGCCCCAAGACCCTCCGCGGCCAGAGTGCCAGGCAAGGTAGGGCAAGTGGCCCTCCCACTTGCTTTGCCTCAGTAGTCCTCCACCCAGCCATTCTCAGAGATGAATGCATCGATGACCTCTTTCATGGCCAGGTTGGGGATGAGCTGTTCCTGGGTCAGAGGGCTCCGGGTCACAGGGTCAAAGTGGCCCACACGCTGCAGTGACAACAGGGTCAGAAGGTACTTGGTGGGCTGGGGCCCTGCCCCCAGCACCCATGGGCCCTCACCTGCAGGTGCTCCTCAATGTCCTTACGGTCATAGGTGATGCCACTAGGTGTGATGCACGGCTCCCGCATCAGCTCAAAGCTGATTTTGCCACACAGATAGTCAGGGATGTCTCGCTTCTGCATCACACAAGGTTAGGTCAGGAATCAGGAATGGGACACTACTCCAGTTCCTGCATCCCACTGGCCCCAGAGAATAGCCAACTCACCTTTCTCTTCTCATCCACCTGGGAGAAGAGCTCATCCATATCTGCTAAGTACTTGTCCTGCAAAGAACCGAGCAGCCATGCGTGGGCAACACATCCCTAATTCCCTTCCCCAGGCACAGGCAAACACAGACGCAACAGGAGCCAGGGGCACCCTCACATCACGTGCACGCAAACACAAGACCCACACGTGGGCCGGGGCACCCTCACGTGCTTGGCCTCGATGCAGGCCTGCTGGGCCCGGATGTGGCCATCGTCCTCATCACCCTCATGGTTCTGCTGACATTCTTCCAGCTCCCTGGGGGTTGACCAGGAGCTGATCAGAGACAGGTCTGTCCAAGATAGGTCAGACTCCACCCCAACCTCATGCTTGTTCAGGCCTTGTTCCCTTCCATCTCCTGTTCACCATGGTTGGCCTTCAATAAACACTTGTGTTCATGACTTAAAGTGGTGACTTGTTAGGGTGAGGGGGTCCTATACTCTGTCACCATAGCCCACCTCTCACGCTCGGCCACAATGAGTCGTGTGAGGTAGGAATGCAGCTCATTCTCCTGGTGGATGCGCCGCTCCTCGATGCTATTCCAACGCTTCTTCTTGGCGATGCGCAAAGCACTGGGGATGTCATCCCCAAAGTTGAGCCGCTGCTCCTTAGCTAGATTGTAGGCTGGAGAAACAGGCTTCAGGTCACCCTTTGGCCAATCCACCCACCTGGGCCCAAGTACCCCCCCTAACCAGCCAGCCTGTAGGCCCACCTCGCTGTAGGTTGGCAATCGCCTCATCATAGCTCTCCATCTCCAACTGGCATTGCCCCAGGAAAAAGTGTGCCTTCACAGACTGCCCATCCAGCTCCAGGGCCCGCCGGCAGTCAGCCAGGGCCTGTTCATGCTGCTGCATCTTCAGGTAGCACAGTGCACGGTTGGTGTAATACACTGCCACCAGGGGATTCCGAGTCTGGGAACCAAGGCAGGCCCATCAGCATGAGGGAGTGAACTCAGTCGGCCCCCTCTGTCCCAGGCCCTGTCCTGGCTTGGGAGTCCATGGTTGAAATCAAAACACTAGAGGTTTTACTGTTACAAAGCTTTTGACCCCTGAGGATGGATGGTTTCCTGGCCCTGAGGCCTGCCTGAGCCCTCTCGACTCCAGTAGATTTTGTAAAGGTCAATCTCCTAGACCTGAGAAGATCCCCAGCTTTGGACCTGGTGTGTGTGTGTGGGGGGGAGTTCTCTGACCTGCCGGTCTCAAACGCCCTGAAGTTCCCACCCGCCACAGTTCTCTGGCAACCAACACTGGATTCAAGGATCGCGGCCCTGGCACCTTGGAACGAGATCATCACTGAGTCTTCAGAGCCCGAGCGCTCCTCCCCTGTCGGAACCAAGACTCCCCGAAGGTCCGACGCGGGCGGTCGGGCAGGCCCCACCCCTTCCCCTGGCCCCGACGCCGGTCCCCTCCCCCGGCGCGGGTGCACTCACGATGGCGCGTCCGTAGCAGGCCGCTGCCTCCGAGTATTTGCGGCCCACGAAGAGCCGGTTGCCCTGCTCCTTGAGCTCCTGCGCGCTCGGACTCTTCTCCGGGCTTCCGCCAGCTGCGCCCAGCCGCGCGCCGCCCTCTTTCTCCTCCTTGCCCTTCATGGCGCCGCGCGGCACGGCCTGGGCTCCGTCCCCAGACTCCGCGCCCGGCTCGCCCTCCGCCCGCAGCCCAAACCCGCAGCCCGAGCCGCGATCCGCTCGGGCCCGATCCAGTGATCCGCCACCGGAACTTCCGGCCGCGTGGGGCGGAGTGAGCGGGACGGACGGACACGAGTTAGTGGGTGGGACCGCGCGTGCGCTCGACGCCCTGAGTGGGGCGGGCTGACGGGCTCGTGGGCTGGGAAAACGCGATTCGCGACGTCGGAAGTCTGGAGAAGCGCCCAAGGCTGCACCAGGAAGCTCCGCCCCTCGAGTTCGGGGGACGTCCTTCCAAAAGTCAGCCCCGCCTGCACCCCACGGCCGCCCACGCCCATCCGAGGCCCAGCCGGGCGCGTGAACTTGACGGCCACCCACGGGATGTGGGGCCAAGAAGACCCGAGCTATTGGGCCGCCAACCTGGCGCGCGCGGGCCCCCCACGGGCGACTGGAAGCCCTGAACCGATGGTAGGGCGGGCAACCCCCGTTCCTCAGACTCCCGTCACCGCCCTTCCCCAGGTATCGAGAGGATTTGCTCGGCCATCGAGGGCCGAGCGGAGAAGCACGTGACTCGAGAGGAGCTGGAGCGGCTGCTGGCGTGGAAGCTGGTGGTGAGGGGCTTCCACGTGGGTGGTGGAACCTTGGCGGGCGGGCCCGCCTCCTGATGTTGGGGCTTCCTTTTAGGAGCGGCCCCTTGCGCCACGGGGCGGGGCTTCCTCCTGGGAGTGGGTCCTCGCGTTGTCGGGCAGGCCCCGGTCGAGGTCCTCCACCAGTGACTACCCTACCTAACCCAACTCTGCTGCAGAGGGGCCCGCCTGCAGGAGCTGGTGACCCCCGCGGCTGGTGGTGCAGCGCTCGGCCGCCGTCGAATTCTGCCTTCCGGCAGGACGTGCTCATGGACTCATGGACTCGGGCTAGTGAGGAGTGCTGGTCATAGGGGCAGGTCGCCGGCGGGATCAGTTAGTGTCTGTGGTATGAACCGACGGTCATGTCCACTGAGGTTATTCTGACATTGTTGGGGACTGAGTGCAGGCCCTTCACTTGCCCAACAGTGCTTTGCTGTTGGAGCCCCTCAGGTAGCAGCCTTCATTTCTGATGAGGTAGTGACCACAACATGGGGCCTGCCAGCCCTGCAGTATACTCTCAGGTATACCAGCTGTACCTGGGCCAGGTTGGGAACATGCCACAGCCCTGAGCTGACGTGAGGAGACTGTTGGTGGGCTAGGAGGGCATCCAGGACTCCGGTCAGGATGGAGTGTACAGAGCTGTTTCACAGGGCAAGGGTGGCCAGTGCCCTGGGCTCCAGACTCCCTGTGCACTTCCCCAGGCATTGCCTTAGGGTTGTGGACCCCTCACTGTGCAGAGACAGCACTATGGACCTGGGCTGTGGGGTGGGGTAGAAGCTGTACCCCAACCTGCTCCCTGACCTCAACCCTAGCCTAGCCACCCCTGAGGTACCAGGCCAGCCAAGAAGTGCAGGACCCAGGCCGACTGAACTTGGCTGTGACCTCCTCACTTGCTGTGTGACTGTAGGAGCTCAATCAATGCTTCCTAAACTCACTCCTGACCATGAGGTCCACAGCCCCTCCCCAGGGGCCCCACCTCCCATACAGACACAGGTCACACACATGCAGAGGATCAAGGAGGAATCCAGGCTACCCACATGGAGGGAAGAGCTCAGTGAGTTGGGGGGAGGCCAGACCAGCCCCCAGAGCCCTGGTACAGCTACCTGTTGTTGTGTAAAATATTTATTTATTCTCCAAAAAGGCTCAGACTGCAAGTCCTGGAGGAAGGACAGGATAGAGTCTCCTCTGGGGTCACCCTTGGGACCTCCACCACCCAGCCTGGCCCAGCAGTCCTAACCCCCTCAGACTAGGAGGGAGGCCAGGGCTGGTGTAAGGCTTGGCCTGAACTCAGTAGGCTAACAGGACCACCTGCCCTCGCAAGGAGGAGCCTTGAGATGTACATTCACAGAACGTGAACATGCAGGCCACGCCCTAGCCCATGTGGCCCCTAGGAGCCCCTCAGGGGGGTGGGGGAATGTGGGCACCCAGCAGGTCGTAGGCGAAGATGTTCCAGAAGATGGCGAAGAGCAGGAAGGTGCCGTAGGCAAGCAGCACCACCCACCAGCCGCACTGGTCCCGAAGGCGCTCCTCATAGCTGCGCAGGATGGTCAGGCCCATACTGACCCCCACCACTGCACCAGCCAGGTGCGCCATGAAGCTGGGCTGTGGGCCTGAGGCAGGCAGTGGTGGGGAGAAGCGCAGCCACACAGCCCGGCCCACCTCGGAGCTCACTGCAGAGGGAGTTGGCACATGGGAGGCACCCTGGACCTGGGCTCAGTTCCCCATCCCCCTCCAGCACCTTTTGTCTCTACTTACTGCACACTAGGGCCAGCACCATTCTCAGCAGCTTGTAGGGACACCTCATCCCAGCCCAGTTCTGATGGGGCATGAGACAAGCAGTGAGGCAAGCCTTGTGTGCCCCTCCCACACCCACCCAGGCTATTTCATTACCATGACGACATTGGCCAGGTGTGCAGAGCACAGGGCATAGACTCCGCCAGAGCCCCCTACCACAGGGGCTCGCATGTCAGTAATGGAAACAGTCAGGGAGCCTGTGTGAAGCAAGGGGACAGCTGTGAGGGTGAGGCCTGTCAGTGAGGTGGCCAGGGGCTATGCACCTTCCTCACCTGCCAGCACGCCAGCCAGGTAGAGCAGGCTGATGCGGAGCAAGCCGTGCACCATCTCCAGGGGCACCCCAATCATCAGCTGTAAGAGCGCATTGAACCCCAGCTGCTCCAGCCTGGCCATGTAGGGGCAAATGGGTATGAGAGGTGGGATCAGTCATCAGGCTCCCAGACACTTTGAAGTCAGGGGTGCTGGAAGCGGGCCCTCACTCACCCAACGTGCATGAACATGTAGGTGAGGAAGCGCCAGGCCCGTGCTCGGTGCCCAGGATGGTATACAAGAGGGCTCTTCATGTACTCAGGGTGGTAGGTCTGCAGCACCCACTTGTTGAGGCGGGCCCCATAACACAGGAACACGATGATCTAGGAGAGAAGGGCATTAGGACTGGGCCAGGCCAGGGATGTGGGTGGTGGACAGGTGGGCAGGCTCACCTGGGCCAGAGTGACAGAGGCCATAAATACAGGGGGTGGGCAGCTTCGGTGACGGTAGAAGTACCAGTGGCGGTCCACCTCTCGGGGCAAGATCTCGTAGGCCACGTAGCGCACAAACCGCTTATAGACACCCAGGCCTGGCTCGTCTAGCAGCCCATCCTGGGGCAGTGCCCGCTGTCCATTGGCGATGGCCCGCTTAAAGCTGCTTGATCGCTTGCTGCTGATCTGGGGGAGCGGGGCCTAAGCATGGGACTCCATACTACCCCCATGACCTCCATGCCCGCCTGGTCTGCCCAGCTCCTCACAGGGTCTGAGGCCCTGCCCCAGTGGGAAGGTAAGGAAAGAGGGGCCACCTGCCCACCCAACTCCAGCCAGGGCACTATGCTGGCCAAGGCCTGGGCCCCCATCTCTGCTGCCCACCCACTGTATCACTGACCAGGTCCACCAGCTCCTGGTAGCAGACCTGGCCCCGCTCGTTGCTCTGGGCCAGGGCCACCAGCATGTCCAGCTTGGCTGGATCCAGGGGTAGTTCATGGCTGTGCACCAAGCCAGTGAAGGTGTCTGCACCAATGAAGCCTGTGTTCTCAGGGTCCAGCTGCTGGGGTGGGGGGTGGGGTGGGAGTGAAGGAAGTGAGCTTACAAAGGCCTGAGGATGGACCAAGCCCACAGACCAAAGGGCTGCCCCAGGCCAGCTAGAAGAGGCAGTCTCCCAACACTCTTAGGCTAGATCTCTGTGCACACAGTCCCAGGAGCTTCCAGGGAACCGGTTCCTGGGTCCCAAGCCTCCAGGGGTCTCCCCGCCTCATTTTGGCCTTGCCCATCCTGGAAGGGTAGGGCTAAGGTCTGAGGACAGTCACCTTCCCTCCTGTCCCTCCCAAGGCGCCCTGGTCTGGCTCGCCCTCTCCTGGGGTCTCAGGCAGCGAGCCAAGGTCGTACAGGAGGGGGTTTGGGGAGTGGACATGAGTGGGGGCTGGGCTGGAGCTCTTCGAGTTCCGTTTCCCCAGCCAAGCCCCGCAGCAGTGGGCGGTGCTGGCGCCCCTCTCCCCCAACGCACCTGCTCCTGGATAAGCTGCAGCAGCGAGCTCCTGTCCATAGAGTCGGGCCGGGGTCGATGGCCGCGGCGGGGAGGGGCTGCTCTGCGGATGACTCCGCTCCGCCCCTGCCCGTGCGCTCCGCCCGCTCTGCCTGGCGCCGCGTCACCGAGCCGCCCGCCCCCGCCGCTCGCGTGGCCAGAACACGCGCGTGCCCTGCACGCGGACGCGCTCCAGGATAGGGACACCAGACCAGAGCCTCGTCCTCCTCGCCCGCCCAACGCGTGCCAGTTCCTCCAACCTTGCCCCCGTATCCTGGCACAGCTCTGTTCTGAGGCTGCGGCTGCTGGTCCCATGTGGACCGTAGCTGGGAAACTGAGCCACAGGCGGCAGCCAAGCCCCTTCTGCGTACGCCCTTTCTCCCCGGTTAGGGTCTTAGAGCCCACATCATCTTGGGAAGCCTCCCAGGACCACCCCACTACCTGTGATTCCCCAGGCCAGGGCTCTCTGAAAGCGCCTGCCTGCCAGATATGCTGGCCCATTCGCAGTTGGGCAGCAAAAAGGCACCTGGGTCCCAAGGCCAACAGGGCAATTAGCCAGGGGTGGAGGAGGCTCCTGCATGCTTTTTCAGGACTAATCCCCAGCACACACCTTGGGCTGGAGGCCTCTGGTGGCTCCTGCAGCCACAATGCTGGACAGTGACAGTGGAGCCTGTAGCCCAACACAAGGGACAAGGCTGCAGCTGAGATAGGAGGGGGCCCTATTTCCTGAGGAGGGCAGGTAGACTCCGACAACAGAGGTTCCAGACTAGGGATGCATTACCACAGTGACCCCTTAAAAGGTCACTCAGAAACTCAAAACCATGGAGCCATTAATCCTGGCAGCTGGTCCTCATGAGAATAGAGTTCCAACATGTGAGCCACACCTCAGCAGCTAGAAGGATAACAGTATGGTGGAAGTACTTCAAGAGTCTGACCCAAGACCCTTCCGGATCAGGCCTGAGCATCTCTACAGGTAAGTGGCTGCCCCCACCTCCTAGGAACAGCTCTGCAGTGCTCAGAGACCCTGGTATGGAAGGGGCTACCTTGCATGGAGCACCTGTCTGGCTAGCCAAGTGCTATACCCAGGCCCACCATGGACCATCTCTGCTCCAGGGCCCAGAATACTGGCCAAGTAAGCACCTGGGACGGGTTGAAACAATCCCAAGTAGAACCTCCACTTCCCCAAGAAGGGTTTTGTCCCCCTTCCCTTGCTGTCCCCTACCCAGTGAAAGAAGCCTCTGGTCAGTGTGAGAACAGGACAGCTCCCCAATACCATAAGCCACCCTGCACACCAGAAGCGGGGCTCTTTGCCACACCCCACCTCAGTATCCTAGATCCTCCCCACAGTTCAGGCAGGCTGCTGGGGTGGATGCTGCGGTCTGGGGAGGAGGCGGGCACTCTCCAGAAAGCATAAACCTCAATACAGATGCTTCTAGGCTGCAACTGGGCCTCTCATGTGGGCCTGTGTGAGGCCTCAGGTCTGCAGGGGAGGTGTGTGTGGGGGGCAGCCAGGGTGAAGTTTCCAGTCCACACTGACAAAGGACAATTCAAAAAAAGCCACCTTCAGAAAGTAGGGTCCATGATGGGAAAGACAGTGAAGTTTAATCAGGAAACCTAACCTCACATCTTCCATGAGGAGTGCAGCCCTGGACCAGTCTGCCAACGTGGTGGGGAAGAAAACAACACAATGGTCTGGCCATTTTCTGCCCCCACTTCCTGCTTTGGGCCCAAAGCTCTGCCCTCTGACTCCCCTCACATCCACTGGCTGCCTGGGATCAAGAAGGGGTGGAACCCTGAGAATTCAGGTCTAGAATCACTGGCTTCCAAACCTACACCCCAAAGTCTCTCCAACATGATGCCCACAAAGGTGAGTGTTGCTGGGCCAGAGACTGGCAGGATCTGGGGCCCACCCTTGGGGCTGGGCAGTGGGCAGGCTGTCCTCAGAAGCAAAATTTACACAGAAGGAAGCTCCACCAAATGGATGGCCAACACCAGCACCCTGGGGCCCTGAGATCAGACTGCAGAGCACCAGGGCCTCATCGACTCTTCACCAGGACCCTGTAGAGTGAGAAGCTGAGGACAGCAGCAACAGCAGCCCCAACAGCCCCCAGTGTCACCCGGAGCCAGAAGGAGGTAGTGTGCAGCTCCCCATGGACCAGATACCTGCAGGAGAGAGGGGCTGTTTGGAGACACCCTCAGGGTGCTCACCAGATACTTGCTGCTGTACCCCCATTCATCCTCCATTTCCTGGTAAGTCAGAGCTCCACAGAGCTGTTACCTGTCAGTGTCCAGCATGGCAGAACTCCCAGACAATGGGGCAGCTGGTGAGACCAGACACCACAGGGCCCTGCCAGGGCATCAGCACCTGACCAAGGCCCACCCTGCAAGCCTGACTGACTAGTCCTGACACCATATCTGTTCCACTCTCCTGGTGACAGGAACAGTTGGTACCCTGGGACAGGGACAGGCCTCCCACCATAGGGGGCTGTGGTGCTGGTACCCACGGGAAGGTGGCTATGGTGGCAAGCCGGGTGAAGACAGCTGTGCTGGGCTCTCCTGGGCCAGCACAGGAGAATGGGGTGGGAGTGGGCAGCCGGTGCCTGCGGCAGAACTCCGCTGGAGACAGGCCAGGCAGTGAGACACCTTCAGGCAAGTCAGCCTTGGAGGAGACGAAAAGGCAGGGGATCTGTCCATCCATGTAATGGCGCTGTGGGGGAAGGGGCCACATGAGGCACAGTTCCAGAGCAGACAAGGTGAGGATACTGGGGGACCCTCACCCACAGGACACCAGGATAGATGGTGGCTTGCCTTGTAGACGCTGGTGCAGAGCGCAAAAGACTGGGGGTCAGTGCCATCAAACATCAAGCAGGCGACATCACAGGCAGCATCAAGTGCGGTGGACAGTAGGCTGCCTGCATCCACCTCACACAGCTGGACAGAGGGTGGCCTCAGGGAGAGGCAGGGAGCTCAATTCCCGAGGCCACATTGGGATAGCACTGCCTAGCATGCACCTGGGGTCTATCGCAGGGGTGCCCCTACCCCCACACTCACTATCAAGTACTTCTCCTGCCCGTTGACCTGCACCGTGTTGATGGCGTAGACAGCAGGTACCTTGTGGAGCTCCCTGGTCTCCTGATGCTGAGGAGGGAGGTACCTGAAGCACACCGGCCCTGACGCTCCCCAAAGCCCCTACCCCCAGAGGCCCCAGATAGTAGCTGGGTCCCCTCACCCAGCATACAATGATGCTCACCCCTAGGCCACGGCCAAGGAAGGCCTGTAGGAAAGCAGACTTGCCCACTCCACATGCCCCTACCACCTTGCACAGAAGGACATTCCTTTGTGTTTGTCCCTTCTCCTGGTCCAGCCTCTTCTCACGGGTGACTGTGGGAGGATGGGAAGGACAAATGAGAGTGAGGGCCTGCCAGGGAAGAGCTGGGCCAGGCCACTGTGAGGGCAGGTGCCGACCTGTGATGGCATGGGCCTGGGAGTCCTGCTTGCAGAGGGTGGGGTAGCCCAGGTAGCCAAGATGCTCCAGACAGCGCCGGACATCCAGGTAAGTCACCAAGCTGAGGCATAAAGAAGGGGGGAAGCAGTATCACAAAGGGGCAGCATTGTTTGTCGAGTAGGGGCACGTGGGGGCTGCACTCACGTCCACTGGCAGAGGTACCCATGCAGGGACAGCCGGCCTGCTTCAGTTCGGACCTCCTGCAGGAGCTGAGGGCCCCATGGCGGGGCTGGGAACACACTGAACAGGTCCTGCAGCTCTGCCAGCGAGAGAGTACCATCATGGTCCTGCAGGGAGAGGGGCTGTGGTGACACTGGCTGGGAGCCAGGATAGGAAACCAGGACAGGCAGCACAGTAGGGTGACAGCGCCCTCACCTGGTCATGCTTCTCAAACACCCTCTGCACAAACTGGTAGCCAAAGTGGTTGAGCTCTGTGCTGCAGCCAGGGGGCACATGGAGCCTGTGGGGTTGCCATTGGTTTCCCACCATGCTCAGCACACCTTCTGTCTGTGCAGTCCAACCCTCCCTGTGAGTCACACTGAACCCCAGAGGTTCCTCCACCTCTCCCTCAACTGAGCACCACAGCAGAGAAGCAGGCAAGGATGTGGCTAGGGCCAGGGGCCACCTACTCGGCATAAGTCCCAATTTCTGTCCACAGCAGGCACCTCCTACACAGTCCATCCTTTGCCTGAGCAAGGGCTCCAACCCCACCCTGGCACCATCTGACAGAGAGCCCATCCACCACTCACGGAGGGAAGAGGTAGTCAGTGGACAGCTCCAGTGTGTCACCATAACCAAAGCGCCGCAGGATGGTCCACGTGGTTTCATGGCGGCCACGCTGGATGAAGAGTGTGTTCAGGAAAAGGAAGCCTGTTCAGAAAGGGACAGAGAAGGTAGCACTGGTTATTACCCACGCCCCTCCCTACACCAGGAGGGCGGGCAGGGTGCCAGGCCTCACCATCCAGGGTCAGTCGGTCATCCCGCACACCTCCTGCCACGTTCTTGCGCACCACCATCTTTACATCCTCCAGGGCTTGTGGGGCCAGGGGATGCCCAAAACAGGATTTCTGCCTCAGAGAGAAAGTTGCTGTTAGTAAGCCAGACACCCCATCAACTGCTCAGCCTAGTCATTAATGACATAGAGCCCAGCTGCAGCCCAGGAAGGGTAGGCACCACCAAGAGGTGGATAGGGGCCCCACCTGGAAAGCGTTGAGCTCCTCATCACTGAGTGCCTGGTCCAGATCCTGGTCTGAGAGCCGGAAGATGCGTGTGAGGGCCTGGGTACACTCAGGCTTCAGCTGTGGGGACAGCCTGCTCAGCATGTTCCCCCACTCCCACCTGCTAACCACCCCCACCCATGCCAGCTGCTCACCTGCTTGGTCTCAGGGTCATAGAGTGGAGCTGTGGGGTGCAGCACGGCCTTCTGTGCATAGTAGAACAGCTCTGAAATGTTCCTCAGATTCTTGGCCGAGCACTGGGAGCCACCAGGACAGACTCAGAGAGGTGCCAATGCAGAGACTTGAAGGGGCTCCAACAAAGATGCAGGCACAGGTAGTCGGCAGCCCCCACCCCAAGGAAGCCTTCAACAAACAGCTTGCCTGTCCTGAGATCCCAGGCTACCAGCACATGAGCGCCTGTTGCAGGGCCTGGCCCTGCCCCTTCTCTTCTCCACCCCAGTGCCCCCTGCCTGGCCCTGCCCTGCATGCCTGCTCACCTCCACACAGGTCTCAATCTCAGGGAACTGGCTCATGATGGGCAGCACAGCCTCCATGGAGCTCCCTGGCCGCAGGTCTGACTTGTTGCCCACCAGGATAATAGGGACCCTGGGGAAAGGCCCACAGCCATCAGGGATGAGGGAGCTGGAGGAGACCAGCACTCCCCATGAGCCCTACCCATTACCTGGGCCCCTTCTCGGTCCCTCCATTCACCAATGGGATCCATTTAGTTCGAATCTGAAAGGCAAGGCCTGGCATGAGGTGAGGGGGCTGCCCAGGCCACAGCTCCCGATGTAACCTGAGCCTAACCTAAGGGAAATGGGGGAGAAATCGAGACCCACTGAGGGCCAAAGTCACAGCCACTGGGAACAAGTGGAGAGTGCAGCTGATAGGTGTGACCTCATCCAATCCTAGCAGTTCCCAAAAACCCCCAAGGGACCTGGGGTCAGCAGCTCAGGGTTCTGCAAGCCTAAGTGGTTCAGACTTGTGGCTGTCCACGGTTCCTGCAGGGCCACAGGGGGCTCCCTGGGGAAGCTGTGGGGTCCTGGCCACAAGGACAGGCTGATGACCAAGCTGGGCATCAGTAGCAGGGACCCAAGATGAACAGGTACTCCCTTGCTCACCTTCTCAATAGTGGCCTCCTCAGACACGTCGTACACCACACACACCACATTTGCCTATGGGGGAGGGCGCATGGCACAGCATTAGCAGAGGCTTCCTGTTCATACCACCCCGGCACTCACAGGCAGGACAGGGCATGGCTCAGAGACCCAGGAAGCCATCCTCCACTGGTAGTCCCCAGCCAGTGCTCCTTGGTGTGTCACTGGAACTGGTGATCTGCTGTGCAAACCTCAGACAAATCCTTCCCTGCTTACTTCCAGGTCCCAGCACTGCAACTTGGGTCAGAAAGCCCCATGAAGGGCTCAGGACAGAATCAACTACCCCTGAAACTTGGAACCCCAGCTCTGGCCTTGGTCCTTCACTGCCGTGTCACTATAGGCAGAGAAGATGACAAGAACAGCACAAGGCATGGTGAAGGCCGCTCCTCCGTAGCTGTGGCCTGAACCCATGCCCAGTGGCACCCCTAGGACACAGAAGCTGCAGAGGCACAGGGCAAGGTTTCAGGGGCAGCTTCCTCCCAGGAGCTTGGCTCTGGCACATGTCCTCTTGATAAGAGGTGAACAGAAGGCTGTGCAGCCTGCAGCCCTGATCACTGCACCACAGCCCAAAGGCCCAGAGTAGTGGATGGCACTACAGGATGGGGAGTAGGTGGCTGGGGCAAAGAACTGCTTACGGGGTCATTTTGAAGGCTAATGAGATCTATCTGCCAGTGTTCACCGAAAGCGTGAATGTTGGGAGGACAGAGCCATGGGGTTGGCCAGCCATGTGGGTGGGTAGGAAGAAGGGATGGTCCCTTTCCTCCCCAACTCCCAGCAGGGTGCATCACTGGAACCCCAACAACTTAGCACTGGGAGGTCAAGGAAGAATTAGCGAGGCCACAGTCGATCTGAGCACCTTAATCTAATCCCTCAGAAAGAGAAGCCGATTAGAAGTAGGCAGCAGCCCATCCCCAAGGCCCGAGCACTGAACCCGTCTCCCCACCTTCCTGGCACCCTCTTCCTGAACCCTCAGAACACACTGTACCTTGTGAATCTCGTCCTGAAGCTCCTCCACAGTCTGCTCAGCTTCTGGACGGAAGAAGAGATGGCACTGCAGACCTCCTGCCCGAAATGCGGCTCCTGGGCAGAACGCTGGGGTGGGGGTGGGTGAGGTGGGGGGCGGCTCTACCTGAGGAATCCACGATGTGAGTGGGCACCTTCTCTGGGGTGACGTCCGCGGGAATGGTGATCTCTTCTGCCCGGGGTGGGACCTGAAACAAACGGGGCGTGAGGGTGGCCCGGGGACGGCGGGAAGTCCGCCCTGAGGCCTCAAGCCCCCTCCTCTGCGTGACCACGGCAGGGGCACTAAGCACCACTATCCTCACCTCTTCAGGGAACTCCTCGCCCACCAGCGACATGATGAGAGACGTCTTCCCCACCTGGGCTGCGCGGGACAGGGCGGTCAGCACGGCGGCCAAGGTCGCGGGGCCCCCATAGGACAGGCCCGGCGCCTACCCTCGCCCAGCCCCCGACCCCCACCCCACGCCTACCCTCGCCCAGCAGCAGGATGCGGACGTCCCGCTTCATGGCACCCGACAGGAGCTGCAGTCCCACCCAAAACCCTAGACCCGACTCCAGCCGGAGCCCGCTCAGGGTACGCTGCCCACGCTCGCCCGAGCCCGCACTTCCGGCCCCGCCCGCACAGCCGCACTAGCGAGCCCGGAGGGCCAGAGAGGCTGGGCTGCGCAGCAGTGCCACCGCGTGGGCGCGCCGAGTAGTGCTGGCGCCGAGCCTGCCGGGGGGGCGGGGCCCCGCCTCAGGTGCCGCTCACTCCAGCAGCTTTCTTCCGGCCCACTCCGGCCAGGGTAGCCCTTGCAGGTGGGCAGGCCAAGGCCTCAGTTCTTGGGAGGGAGAAAAAGGTCTCGAATTTGGACAGAGGGTGAGCTCAGGCCAAGCGGGAGAGCCAGGCCCAAGGCTGTAGGAGCCTGGAATGACCAGCAGACAATGCCACAGTGCAAAGCCCATGTTTATTTCAACAGTACAGGTAGCAACATAGAAAAGCACTCAGGTGCCAACAAGCACTTTACACATGTTCAGGGTCTTCATGATTTACACAGAGTCCTGAGCCTCCACACAGTGTGAAGGGGCAGAGCCTACCCAGGCATCCTGGCACAGCCCGAGGTTCTCTATTAAACTGGCTTTTCAGCAGAGCCTCTGCTCAGGCCAGGTGCCCAGCAAGACTGGCACAGCACACCTGACCCCAAAGTTCCCACTGCGGCTCAGCAGTCTGTGACCTCCCACACAAAGATCTCGCTGTGGGCCGCCGTGAAGAGCAGGCTGGCAGACGGGGCAAACCTACAGAGCTGTACACCGTCGTCGTGGCCAGCAAAGTCCTGCGAGGCCCCCGACACACAGTCCACCAACCTCAGCACATGCTCTGTGGGCAGAAAGTATGATGTGGGACCTGTGCCCATGTCTGTAGCTCCAGGGCCCAGGGGTTCCCCGGCCCACTCTAGCTCTGTCTCCAGCCAGACACTGGTGCAACATAGAGAACCTGTGCTAAATGGCCTGTCTTCCACACCCACAGCCACCTGTTGCTGAGACCGGGGCAGCAGAACCAAGGAAGAGCCCATCATTGTCAGAAGTGTCTAATAACACGTGGCTTCTAAGGCCCCAAGCTCAGCTGCTGAGTCCCTCTATTCAGTGCTGAATGCTGTACCTGGTACCCCACCTTCAGTGATGAGGAACCTGGTGCAGATGTGAGGGGCAAGTCTCAGTGTGGGGGTACAGGTGAGTCCACTCAGCCCACTCAAGACAGGCTAAGTCCACACCCACCAGTACTCACCAGCGAACCCAATGGCCATGAAGCAGGCCCTGGGGGACAGGCTTAGGGACATGGCAAAAAAAGGCAGTGGGATCTTCTTTATCACCTGTGGGCAGCAAGCATAAGGCAATAAGCAAAGGTTCACACTGCCCAGGACCTTCCCCTCCCAGGGTCACAGGGGGCATGCACGTGCCTGCTTCTGGCAGAGGCTGTAGAAGACCACCTCTGGATCTTGGCCGAGGCCTGCACACACCAGCAGTGTCCTATCCCAGGGACAGAAGGCAGCGAGGGAGGGTGGAGAGCAGTCTGAAGCCTGAGGAAAAGCACAGCTGTGACTGGACGAGCAGGCACTGTCCCCACCTGAGGTGCCACTAGGACTTCTACCTCCATGAGGGTGGGCGCTGGGAAGCTCAGCCAGTCCACGAGCTCACAGCAGTCCTGCAGCCAGTTGGAGGCCCAGATGCTGACCCGCTGGTCTCCGCTGGCAGCCAACCACAGGTCTGTGCCCTTCACCCCGAAGTCGCCATACTGGGGGGTGAGGGGGTTAAGGGCAGGTGAATACCTCCTGCCCCACTTTGCCAGAGCCCCTTCCCTGCTAGCACTCCCCAAACAAAGCCCTGCTTGCCACTTCACCTCCTTGGTCGTGCTCTGGATAGCAGAGATGGGAGCACCCCGGTGGTCACTCAGTACACAGAAGGTCATCCCTGTGTGGGGGCGGCTCACAGCCACAAGTCCATCCTTGTCTCCAGAGAGGATGGTCTGACCTGGGTCAGGCAGAGGCCACATCATCACCCTGTGAGCTCCCAGCCCAAAGGTGTGACCCGGGCCAGGGAGAGGCCATGCCATCACCCTGTGAGTCCTCAGCCCCTCACCGTCTGCAGAGAAGGTGACAGCCGTCAGTGCAGCCAGGTGTGGATGCATCTTGAACTCCATCGAGATCCGGGAGACATTGAAGACACGCAGCGTGCCATCACTGTAACCTGCCGCCATGTGCTGCTGTTCTGGCTGCCCACAAGATGGGGGGCTCCAAGCCAAGCAGAGGCAGCTCTGGGGACCCCCAGTACAGAAACAATCAGCACTCCCCCGAAGAGTGAGATGGGGGCCCAACTCTAAGGCCAAGGACAGACACTGGAGCTGAAAAGATGCAGCTCCCAAAGCCCTTCAGTGGGGAGGCAGGGCCCCATCCCAAGCACACGCCTCCAGCCCCTGGCACCCTGAGTACCTGGTTCAGCACCTGGAACTGGATCACCAGCTCCATGCTGGACAAGGACCACACCCTCACACTCCCATCATCTCCACATGTGGCACAGTGGGACTCACTGGGGCTGAAGACCACCTCATTCACCTGCAGGTAACCAGCCAGCCCTACCTGAGGTCATGTGGCCCTCGGGCAGAAAGAAGTCACAGTGGGACCAGGTCATTCCTATGTCTCCTTCCCAAACCCTCCTGACCATGGCCACCTCTACATGGAGTAAAGAAACCATCCTGAACTCCCCGAGTGCCCCCCACAAGACATGGAAGGAATTCTAACTGTAAGAAGTCCATCTACCATTGAACCTAACCATCCTCTTGCTGGGACACCAGAGAAGTGTTCTGGAAGAACCGAAAATGTGGTGATGGGACAACACATCCCTAGAGAGCTGCAGACTAAAGGTAAAGGCAGCACGAAACACACTCCAGGCCATTCCAGGGGCCTCGCCACTGGTGGTGGTGGAGGTGGTGTGGCTTTTCCTGAGACTGTCATGTGTGCATTGAGGGAGAAAGTAGGCATGTGATTACTGAGAATCAGGATTTCGGGTGTGGGAAAAAGGGAATACAGACACCATACACCAATGAAGGGAAATAAAATGGCCTGGTCCTGCATTTAAACTTCAAATGCAAGTATGAACTCCTGATATCTTTTATCTTTAAAAATAGTAATTTAGTTCCGTGCGGCTGAGAAGTGATGGGTCCCTCCGGAGGGAGCCGCAGAAGGAGCGCCTGGACACTGTTTTCCACATGAGAGGGGAATCACCGATGACCATCAGCTCAGGCCAAGGCTCAGGCCCCAGTGCTCCTACCCTGATGGTGGATAAACGCAATGTGTTCCGTCTGTACCATGGAAGAGCACTTGGCAATCACTGACACGTGCTACAATGCAGATGCACCTGGAGAATATGATGCTCAGTGAGAAACCAGACGGAAGGGACCACACTGCGTGCTCCTGTTTATGTGGAAAGTCCAGAACAGGCAAACCCATAGTTAGTGGTTCTCAGGGAATGGAAGGTGAGTGCTTAGTGGGTATGGGATTTCCTTTTGGGGTGATGAAAACGCTCTAAAATGGACTGAAAATGATCTAAAATGATAGTTGTACAATTCTGTGAATATACTGAAAACCACTGACTTTGAACAGCTGAAGTGCATGGTGTGTAAATTATACCTCAATATAAAACTGTTACCAAAAAACAGAAAAAGCATATAATCCTTACTCCTCTCAAAGTTAATTTCTTTGATGGCTACCATTATCTCCAAATATATAAATACAAATTTAATAAGACATAGAACTCAGTCCGGCCGGTGTGGCTTAGTGGTTGAGCATCGACCCATGTACCAAGAGGTCACCGGTTCGATTCCCAGTCAGGACACATGCCCAGGTTGTGGGCCAGATCCCCAGTGGGGGTGTGCAGGAGGCAGCCAATTGATGTTCTCTCTCATCGATGTTTCTCTCTCTCTCTTCCTCTCCCTTCCTCTCTCTAGAATCAATAAAGAAAAAAAATTAAAAAACAAAAAAGACTTGGAAAGTAAACAATTGACTGTTGCTGGCAGAACCAACCCAATGCTTGGAAACCTGGTCCACAAGGGAGAGACCAGCTATCCCGCTGCTCCTGTCCCAGCTCTGCGTCAGGAAACCCAACACTCACGAGGCCAGTTCTCTGTCCTGGAGACACAGACTGTTGCCACCTGCAACCCCACCAAGGTGACAGGGCACTCAGGACAAGGCAGCACTGAAAGGCAAGCAGCCCCATGTGCTTCTTGGTGGGAGACAGCTCACCAGGAGGAGCTGGGGGCCTGACTGGCCCTGACCGAATTCTGGCCTAGCCTCCAGATTCTCGGATCGCGGGGAACACAGAAACAGAAAGGCAAGTCTAACCCTGGTCTGTGGGAGGCTCAAGGACAATGACCTGGTTTGTCCGTTGAGTAAATTACTAGGGAAAAAAGCAAGAGGGAAGAGGAAGGACCGAGAAGAGGCCAGGCCTGTGGTGCGGACACAAGAGGACACTACATGGACTATGTAAACACAAAATGAGTGTGCAGTTCTAAATGTGCAGAATCCTTATCCAGAGAATCTGAGATGTTTACGCATGAACTAATCCAACAGCTGGGCTTGACTCAGAATGACAACTGGGGGCAGGGAGACAACAGACAGAGGAGAGTGAATGCGGGGCTCCCAGCCCTGTCTCTGTCCAGGTGGAAACCCCCTGGGACACCTTTGACAGAGAGCCAGTGGCCCAGCAGCCTCACCTTGCTTCTGTGGCCGCTGATGAGGCGGGTACTGGTGCCCTCAGCCCAGCTGACATACCAGAGCGTGCCTGCTGTGGTGCCCACTACACCCATGTCCATGCTGTCGTGGAAGACGGCGCTCACAATGGCCCCGTCCAGGGTCAGCTCGCGCTCCATGAACACGGAGCTAGACCTAGGGGAAGCAGTGGGTCCCGAGAGTGGTGGCACAAGAGCACAGGGAGCCTGGTGCTCTGGGATGCAGCCACGTTCTTGAGCTCTGGCCTCACCCCAGCATATCCCAGAGGGCAGGCCAGCTGGCAACAGGCTCGCGGCCCTGGTCAAGGGGCCGGCCTAACGCGGAGGCTCAC